GGTCCGATGTTTTGCTTGATTGTGCAATGGTCCCCCCAAAATGAAATCATTCCACGAACGCCATACGAACCATAGAGTGAATCAGTGAAACCAAACCGAACCCTGAAGGGTCTGGGCTAGCGAGGAAACCCATGAACCACTCTCTGGGTCGTGGCGGCAGCGAGGCCCGGTCATCTAAGATGAGACGCGGCGCCGGCGACGTTCCTCATTGGTGAGGAGGGAACCGTGCCGTGTGGGGCCAGCCACCGGAATTGTCTACAAAAGAGGAAAATTCCACCCACCTCTGTGTATTGCGTCATCACCAATCAACGTCATGAAAACAGAGATCTGATTCGTCAGAAATTAGGCTACGTCAAAGTCTGAAGTCACCTGAAAAGCAGAAGTTTTAAAGTCCAAGCGTCGGTTTGTACTCTGCATATGTGAAAGCTCGATTCATTTCACACCGTCGCCATCACTGTAAAAAAGCTCCCTCTCGATTTGACAGAATCGATCTTCTCATCAATTTTCCATATCAAGGCGTCCTCTGTTTTTCCCCTGCTTTGTCTTCCTTTCTAAAAATGGCGTCTTCCAGTTCCAGGCTACATACCATTTTCCTTTCCTCCGCGCTTCTGATTCTACTCCTCCTCCGCCCCACCGCAGCGCAAGCACCCGCCGTCGTCAGAGCCGGCTACTGGTTCCCGGAAAGTGGGTTCGCCGCCTCCGCCATCAACTCCACGCTTTTCACTCACCTATACTGTAGGTTCGCCGGAGTTATTTCGGGGACCTTCCGGGTCGTTGTCCCGGCTGCGTACGTGCCGCAATTTTCTAGCTTTACCCCGACGGTACAGCGGCAGAACCCGTCGGTGAAAACCATATTCGCAATCGGCGGCGGGGACGCCAATTTCACGACTATGGCTGCCATGGCCAGCCTACCTGGTAGAAGGAAGGCGTTCATCGATTCCTCCATAAGCCTTGGTGAGCATCAATTAAAAAGGAGACCCAAATTTTCATACTGATTTAAGATATTTACATTTGACAAAACCATTTCAACTTGGAGCGATTTCTAACTAACATACTAGTTTGATATTACTTTTGGATAACAGCTTTGAGTTTTTAGAGAATTAATTTTAAAAAAATTAGTTGAGTGCTTGGTCCTACATTTTAAATACGAATTCGGTTCTTATTAAAACAATTGAGTGTTTGGGCATTGCTCATGATCGTTCGATTCTTAATACGAATTCGATGCTAGGACGTCACTATTTCTTAAAAAAAAAAGCATTTCTCAATTTTTCAGAAGTCCAATTTTTATTGGTATTTGGTCCTACACTTTTAAAACAGAAAACACTTCCAAAAGGCGGTGCTGAATTTTTAAACTTTTTACAGCAAGATCATACAATTTCAGCGGCCTCAATTTCATCTGGCAGTACCCTTCGGACCCAACGGAGATGGCCAATTTCGGAACCCTCCTCACGGAATGGCGAGCCGCCGTTACGGCGGAGGCCAGAAGCTCCGGCGACCCGCCTCTGCTTTTGTGCGCCGCCGTCCGCTACTTATCCTACTACTTCTCCCCCTCCGTCCAATACCCTGTTCAGACAATATCCAACTCTGTGGACTGGATCAACCTTATCGCGTACGACTTCTACGGCCCCATATGGTCGCCGAACGCCACAGAAACGCCGGCGGCGCTGTACAATCCCGGCCGCAGCGAGAACAGCGGCGACGCAGGGGTGAATTCTTGGATCGAATCCGGATTTCCGGCCAACAAAATCGTCTTCGGAATGCCGTTCTACGGCTGGTCCTGGCGGCTCGCCGACGCCGGGAAACAGGGGCTTTACTCGCCGGCGAGTGGGGAGAGCTTGTCTGAAGATGGGTATATTGGGTTTGATCGGATTAGTGCGTTCATTGCGCAGAACAGAGCAACCAGAGTGTTCAATTCGACGGTGGTTTCCGACTATTGTTACAGCGGGACGACGTGGATTGGATACGACGACGTTCGGAGCGTTTTGGCGAAGGTTGCTTATGTTAACAACAAAGGGTTGCTTGGCTACTTCGCTTGGCATGTTGGTGCTGATGATAATTGGACTCTTTCTACCACAGGTTTGCAAAAATGGTTTCTGTCGTTATATTTTGAATCCATATATTTCGTGTGCATCTAGTGATTGAAAGATCATAATCAAACGAATAAGTATGGTGCAGCTTTCACTTCACATATATCAACAACTCAGGGAGACACGACAAATAGAAAATCAAAGAGGATGCTATTATATGTACTCTTGCCCGTTATCCTAGGGCTAGCATTTGCCTCTGGGATGATACTATTTTACGTGCGCCAACGACCTCGTTCGAGAAGTAATTACGATGTTCTATTAAGTCTATATTTTTATTTTATTTTATTATCAACATGGTCTGGCTGATTTATATAATTATGCAGGAAAGGGAGGAAGGGATGTAACATCATTTTTTGCGGGCGAATCGGGGGAGAAGAACCCTAAAATGTCAGCGGTTCGATATAGCTTCACACAACTTGAGATAGCTACCAATGGTTTCTCCTTTGAGAATAAGGTCGGACAAGGTGGATATGGCCCTGTTTATAAGGTACACATATACGCGCACCTCGTTCTAAATTATGCATGTGATCATTTCCAAATATCTGCTAACACCTGCTTATGCAGGGAGTGTTGGCCAACGGAAGAGAGATAGCGGTGAAGAAGTTGTCGAGAAACTCGAGCCAAGGAGACGAGGAGTTCAAGAATGAGGTAATGCTCACAACACAACTTCAACACGTAAACCTCGTCAGGGTTATAGGTTACTGCATCGACGCAGGAGAGCGGATGTTGGTCTATGAATACTTGCCCAACAACAGTTTGGATCATTACCTCTTCGGTCAGTACTATCATATATTCTATCCATCAAAATTTATGGTTGGATAATGAAGAGAAATGTTAACTCTGTTTTCCCCCAAACCGATGGATGATGATTAAGTTATATCTCTTAATCTATCAGATCCAGTGAGGAACTTATTGTTGGATTGGGCAAGAAGAGTGGAAATCATTGAAGGAGTTACTCAAGGCCTTTTATACCTCCAAGAGTATTCCGGTCATTCGATTGTTCATCGCGACCTCAAACCGGGCAACATTTTGCTAGATTATAACATGAAGCCTAAGATATCTGATTTTGGGTTGGCCAGGATTTTGCTGACAGATTCATCAGAAGCTAACACTGAACGAATTTCTGGAACAAGGTGATCTAAGCTCTAAGATTAATGATGGACCTAATTTACTAGTACAATTCACTCAATCTTGTTATTTCTGTAGAGCTTACTGCCCACGAGAGTATCTGCAGAATGGCGTGTACTCGAAGAAATCTGACGTTTACAGCTTCGGGATCCTTCTTCTACAGATCATAAGCAGCAAGAGATGTGGTTCCCATTACGGTCCCGATGGAGATTTAGAGCTTCATGTCTACGTAAGATCTAAATCATATGTAACTTTAAAAGGGTTGCAAGACTACTCTGTAACTTTCATTTCTTGATTGTTGGGTGGCAGGCATATGAATTGTGGAAAGAAGGTAGAGAGATGGAGATCATGGATCCCTCACTAGACGACTCGAATTCAACTTGCAAGTTAGCGAATTGCTTGAGAATAGCTCTTCTCTGCATCCAGAGGAAACCGATGGATAGGTTGAGTATGCACAAGGTTTCGTCGATGCTAAGAGATTTCTACAGCAACGATAATGCAGATGAAAGGAACATTGAGATCAGAGACGTAAGGTTCTTCAGTGAGGCTGTCATTAACGTAGTACAATTACCTGAGTCCCCTGCTAATTGCTCGACAAATCAAGTCACGGTTACAGAGCCACATGCCAGAACATGATCACATAAAATTGTATGTTCCATAATGTGCATTGCATCAACTAAAAATTTTTAGTGTATATTCTATATCCCGTAGAAACATGACAAACCATAACACAAAAGTCATAAAGTAAACCAGAAACTACATAAGGCAAACAAAAAAAATATAAAAAAACTCATCACAAAACTTACCACTAGTTTTCTGAAGTAGACTAGAAAACTTATAAAGTTGTTCACAGCTCTTTTTTTTTTTTAAACATTGGTAATTCATTAAATGAACCCAGGAAGTGAACAGATTATGGGCCGAAACCCCTAGGAAAGACCAAACAACAAAAGGGCCCAAACAACAGACCACAAAAGGCAAAGGCCCAACAGATGGCCTGAATAAACCCTAGCAGCCTAATCAAAACTCCAAATGCTCTGTGCAGCCGCCGCCCAGAGTAAGCAAGCCGCACCAAATCAGCAACATCGGAAGCGTTGACAGAGACCATTGAAGGAGGAAACCGTCAACCCAGATCCGTCGACCAACAAGCCAAAATCGGGGAAAAACCTGCAAACCCACCTTCAAAAGACGAAAATGCACATCGACGAACCGCTGAAAGCATCAAGGAAAATGATCAGGAGCCTCTGTTGCTTGATCTTCGCCTTCGAGCTCCATGAAGCTGAAAAAACCACGGGAGGATCACAATATGATTCCCAGTCTTCTCCGAAACACCAAGCCGAAGCGGTGAAGCAAGGAGGAGGATCAGAACCATGAAGGAGAAAGCAGATTGAAGAAACCTCAACCCCCTCTGTCACCAACAAAATATCTCAATGTTCAGATCAACGAAGATCAGACATGAGGAAGAAGAAGAAGCAACGATCTTCTGAGAAGAGGTGAGAAAAAGCCCCAAAAAGGAAGCAAAGAACAAATCAAAGCAGCAACAAAGCAAAAGAAAGAAGAAAAGGGGCTACCGCCGACAACCCTAAGGCGCCGACGGCAGCCCACAAAAACACAGAGTTTGAAGTTTTAGAGAGAGGTGAGAGCATTTGAAACCTAGAGAGAAAAGAGAGAGTCTTTTTGTTCACAACTCTCATGAATCATACAAAAAAGACAAAAAAACCACACCAGGAACTTCTCATATATAACCAAAAACGTTATAAATTTCACAAAAAACCCAATAAAGTACACTGTCTTCTCCTAGTTTTCGCTGCTGCCATTATCACCAACTCCATCGTCTTCATTGTGCGTCACTCGACTGAGTTGGAGAGGATAGGAAGCCCCCGCACGACCTCCCAATCACACGTGTGCTCCTCGACACGAGAAAGGGGATGGCGACGACTTGTTTTGCCGACTACGATTCAAGCTCTTCATTTCGCGAGAAGGGACGATGAAGAAGAGGAGTTGCTTCAAAAGAAAATAAAAGTGGGTGACAACAATTACCAAAATATCATTAATGAGTTATATTAACATAGTGCTAACACTTATGGATGTTCTCACTCTATCCAATCCTAAATTCTAAACTTAAACCTATAGCTGTCAAAAAAACATAGGACAATCGGGTTCGATATTTGTTACCTACCGATTTCCAACATTTCCCACAAGAACCCTTTAAGTGGTTTAACAGTTAACCATTGAAACACTTCAAATAAAATCACCATTCCAGAAGAAACTCCAAATTTTGTCTAGCACTCCACAGCTTACTTCTTCTTCTTCTTCTTCTTCTTCTTCTTCTTCTTCTTCTTCTTCATCATCATCATCATTTTATCCCCACCGAGTTTGACTCAATCAACAAATTTTTGCCGTTTCCATCCATCAATCTACCCTCTATACAAGCTATGAAGCTCCTCACCATTTCCCCTTCTCAAAGCATCCCATGTTTTCCCCTCTGCTCTGTTTTTGTCTTCCTTTCAGCAAAAATGGCGCCTTCCAAGCTACTCACCCTTTTCCTCTCCCCCGCCCTGCTGGTCCTCCTTCTTCGCCCCGCCGCCTCGCAATCCCCCGCCGCCGTCGTTAGAGGCGGTTACTGGTTCCCGGAAAGCGGGTTTGCATCCTCCGCCATCAACTCCAAGCTTTTCACTCACCTCTTCTGCGCGTTCGCCGGAGTTGACCCGCAGACCTTCCGGCTCACTGTCCCCGACGCGAATCAGCCTCAATTTTCGACCTTTACCCAGACGGTTCAGCGCCAGAACCCATCGGTGAAAACCCTTTTGTCGATCGGCGGAGGCAATGCCAATCTCACGACTCTGGCTGCCATGGCAAGCCAACCAGGCAGAAGGAAGGCGTTTATCGGTTCCTCCATAAGCCTTGGTGAGTGTCCAGTAAGATCCAAGAGGAGAATACACAATTTTGTATTATCTGAATTAAATATGTTGTCAATAACTTATTCGTTTCAATAACTCGACTTGTACGATGTTACAGCAAGATCGTACAATTTCCACGGCCTCGACCTCGATTGGGAGTACCCATCGGACACAACCCAGATGGCCAATTTCGGCGCCCTCCTCGCAGAATGGCGCGCCGCCGTGGCGGAGGAGGCCGGGAGCTCCGGCAAGCCTCCCCTGTTCTTATCCGCCGCCGTCCTCTACTTATCCTACTACTACTCTCCCTCCGTCCCATACCCTGTCCAGACCATATCAAACTCCCTGGACTGGATCAACCTGATGGCCTACGACTTCTATGGCCCCTGGTTGCCGACGATGACCGCCCCGCCGGCGGCCCTCTACAATCCCGGCCGCCGCGAGAGCGGCGACAACGGGGTCAATTCCTGGATCGAGTCGCAATTTCCCGCCGAAAAAATCATCCTAGGGATGCCATTCTTCGGTTGGTCGTGGCGGCTCGTAGACCCGGAGAACCACGAGCTTTACTCGCCGGCGAACGGGAAGGCACTGGCCGGAGATGGTTCGGCCGGGTATGACCTGATCAATGCGTTTGTAGCTCAGAACAGGGGAACCAAAGTGTTCAATTCCACGGTCGTTTCGGACTATTGTTACAGCGGGACGACTTGGATCGGATACGACGACGTTCAGAGCGTTTCGACGAAGGTTGCTTATGCTAAGAACAGAGGGTTGGGTGGTTACTTCGCTTGGCATGTTGGTGCTGATGATAATTGGACTCTTTCCACCACAGGTTTGCAAATGTTTTCCTCCATTGAAATTGTCTGGTTAAACTATGGAATTCTCTTTTGTTTTGTGAAAGAGATCTTGGTCTTCCTTACTCATGCGTGTGATTGTTTCTTCTCTGGCTATGGCAGCATCGCAGGCATGGGGAGCTTAGCTTAAGGAATGGTTGGTCGGTTATGTGTTTGAGGAAGAGATTCAAATAGTACAGCTTGGATTAGGGGTGGGAAACAATTATGTACGGGAATGAAATGTATTCGAATCGAATTGAATATATTTCGATTTGGTTCTCATCCTGTGAACTATTTTAAATATGAAAAAGAGATTAAAATTGAATTTAGATTCCGCCGAATTGAATCAAATGAACCAAACATACTTTTGATTCATATTTGGTCTTTTTTTTATCCAGTTCCGTAGTTCCGTTTCAATTCGATAAGGTTAATGAAGTTATGTCACCGGTTTTCTATCTTCTCTAGTATCAATTGTCATTTGTCAATATTTGATTATCTTATGTGCATATTTGCAATATAGTGTTTGTTTGCTTGATGGTTTTTGTTGTGAATTTGGATTAATTATGAAATTTGTTCAAATTCCATTGTTTTCTTCATGTATTTAGGGGCAACAAATTCATGGGACCAAATTCATGAATCCCACAGACATGAAAATCTCACCCCTTTAGGTGGGAATTGTTCATGGACTTGAAGTTCATTATTTGTGACCAACCTACTCCTCCCTCTAATTTCCTTTCACTTATCATACCAACGAGGGCAATAAGATCAATTTCACTTTATATGTACAAATCTAATTAAGAAAATCCATAATGAAATCTACACAACAAACAATGGTGTTTATCAAGTCCATAATGAATTCAAAACCCTTGTATATCCATGGGATTTCAGAAGCCAGATTTTTATCAAAACCTTTATTTTCGAATCTACGAAGCAGATGACCAGTTAGTAATTGGGGGGGGGGAGGGGGGGGGAGGGGCATTGGACCCCAAATACTAACCTGGCTCCGCCCCTGGATGTACATAATATGTGGCACATTAATTTAAAATTGAATTTCAGATTAACCATAAGCAATTCCAACTCCAAATTCATCGATGGTCAAAAATTTGTACAAATAAGATTGAATCACAAACAAGATTATAATTTTTGGTGGTTAAAATTATGAATTGGTGTTGGGGGTGGGGGGGCATTGGACCCCAAATACTAACCTTGCTCCGCTCCTGGATGTACATAATATGTGGCACATTAATTTAAAACTGGATTTAAGATTAATCGTAAGCAATTCCAACTCCAATTTCATCGATGGTCAAAAATTTGTACAAATAAGATTGAATCACAAACAAGATTACAATTTTTGTGGTTAAAATAATGAATTTGATTGATCAATGAAATCGAGATGGTTCAACTAGTTTCGTGTCCAATCATTCAAAATCTTTTAGTCCATTACTGATCGTACAAATAAATGGATCGACCCCCTATTGTAACTGGTTGGTTGGTTGACATATCCAACCGAATGATCCAGTCTGATACCTATAACAAAGGGTATATGTATGTATGGGTGTGCACTTCATGAGAATCGCGACTCAATAGTGAAAGTCATCTTAGAACCAATGACTAAACCGACATTGCATTAGGTCCGATTTGATCAAGTCTAAATGTCAATTCAATTCATTTTTTTCAGTATTTCTAAAGTTCATATTGCTAAAAATCGGACTACATTGTATTCAATTCGTTTTTGAACAAAATCATAACTGAGTACTTAAATGACCAATGAGAAAACTTTTACAGGTTGAATCATGCTAACGTAAAGTTGAGGTGGGACAAGGAGACTAGTTTACACGAAGAACTCGAAGTCTAGCTCGTGTTGTATTTGCAGAAGTTAGTTTACACGAAGCTAGTTGAATTTTAGAATTTTTAACGATTGACAATTCCAAATTCCCTCTTTTCCATGCAACTAGTTGCAGAGAGAACCAGTCTAAATCATCGTCAATAGCGATGACAATGGAGCGAGCCGAGGCGAGTACGTTAATATCTATTCCCCGCCCCATGCTACTGTAGATCGGGCCATGTCAAACCTACTAGTACATGTTATTTGAAAAAAATACACGAAAATTTTACTTTTTACGATAAAACGAAGGAGAAAATACTTTATGAAAGAAAATAGTGATAATAAAATGGATAATTGAGTCTGACAAGTTGAAAGATCGCCTCTAACTAGTTGAAAAAAAAGTCAAAATATCAAAAATATATATAAATACTATAAGAAATTGAAATAAAATGAGAAAACAACGGGGCAGAACGAAACACAACGTATCAGAAACAAATTTTCACTTCTCACCTCATACTACTACGGGTCGAATAATACCCGCTCATTGCGGGTCATGTCGAGTATACCCGCCGGACGGGTTCAAATTGCCATCACTATCAATCTCCATTTCATCATAACACCGCCTATTAACCCTTCTGCGAGGCTTCAACCACCGTCACCATCAGTGGAAAAGTCTGCCACCATTCATTTGGAGTTCTCGTCCATTCAACATGTCTCTGTTTTACAATCTCCCACCATTGTCGATCTTCTCAATCTATCCTCTGTCTTTTCCCTCCTTTCGTCTTCCTTCCAAAATGACGCCTTCCAGGCTACTTACTCTTTTCCTCTCTGTCGCTCTGCTGGCTCTCCTCCGCCGCCCCGCGGCCGCGCAAACGACGACCGTCGTCAGGGGCGGTTATTGGTTCCCGGGAAGTGGGTTCGCAGCCTCTGCCATCAACTCCACGCTCTTCACTCACCTCTTCTTTGCATTCGCCGGAGTTGATTCGGGGACCTTCCGGGTCAATGTCTCCGCCGCGAATAAGCCGGAATTTTCCACCTTTACCCAGACGGTACAGCGTGCAAACCCGTCGGTGAAAACCCTTTTGTCGATTGGCGGCGGCGACGCCAATATTACGACTCTGGCTGCCATGGCCAATCAACCCGGCAGAAGGAAGGCGTTCATCGATTCATCCATAAGCCTTGGTGAGTATCACTGTATATCAAGTTAGAGTAGCAAATTTTCCTTAATTTAGTGAAGTTAGTTACCAATTCGATTTGCAATCGAACTAAATTTGTTTCTTTACAGCAAGATCATACAACTTCCATGGCTTGGATCTCGACTGGCAGTACCCTTTGGACACAACCCAGATGGCCAATTTCGGAGACCTCCTCACGGGGTGGAAAGCCGCCGTGGCAGCGGAGGCAGAGAGCTCCGGCAAGCCACCTCTGCTTTTATCCGCCGCCGTCCTCTACTTATCCTACTACTATTCTTTATCTGTCCCATACCCCGTCCAGACAATGTCCAACACCCTCGACTGGATCAACCTAATGGCGTATGACTTCTACGGCCCCGAGTGGTCACCGACGACCGCCGGCCCGCCGGCGGCTCTTTACAATCCCGGCCGCCGGGAGAGCGGCGACAGCGGGGTTAATTCGTGGATCCAGTCCCAATTCCCCGCCAATAAAATCGTCCTAGGAATCCCATTCTACGGCTGGTCGTGGAGGCTCAGCGACTCCCGGAACCGGGGGCTTTTCTCGCCGGCGAATGGAGCGGGATTGGCCGGAGATGGGTCGGCGGGGTACGATGAGATCAATGAGTTTATTGCTCAGAACAGAGCGACCAAAGTGTTTGATCCGACGGTGATTTCGGACTATTGTTACAGCGGGACGACTTGGATCGGATACGACGACGTTCGGAGCGTTTCGACCAAGGTTGCTTATGCTAAGAACAGAGGGTTGCTTGGCTACTACGCGTGGCATGTTGGTGCTGATGATAATTGGACACTTTCTACCGCAGGTTTGCAAAAATTTCTCCATCAGTAGAAGTGTCTAGCGGATGAGTCAGTTTGAGACGAAAACTCACTCGAGCCACTTAATGCCCATCCTACTTACTATACTGTAATGGTTTTTTAGGTTGTTATTATTAGTAAAGAGATCGTAAATCCTTTAAACTTGATAAATTCTATGTCACGCGGTACAATAATTTTATTCGCATTTATCTAACGATCGAAGATCATGAACTAATAATACTAGCATGATGCAGCTTTAACTACTCAACTGTCAACTACTCAAACGACAACAACTCAAGGCGACACGACGAATGTGAAATCGAAGAAGCGAGGTCGGCTACTGTTATTATATGTTCTCTTGCCCGTTATCCTAGGGTTAGTATTTGGTTGTGGGATGGCATTGCTTTACCGGAGAAAACGACGTCGTTCTGGAAGATCATCAGAATTCCCATCAACAGGTAATGATGGGTCATTTGGATGCCATTGGTTTGGCTCTCTTGGTATTTCGAATCAAAATGTTTCATTATTTTGATATGCGACATTGGAATGTGGTAATTGGCTCTAATTGTCTTGTTTGGATAAAACATTCAAATATTGTGGCATTTCACCACTTTGAGAGATGAGTTATTTGGAATAACTGGGTGGTGGATAGTTGTTTCAAATAACTCACAATGAGTTGTTTCAAATGTCTCATGGACAAACTACCACATTCCATTTTATTTTTGTCAAACGAGTTATTTCGACCCAAAAAAACTCATCGAATTACCTCATCCAAACAACTCTTAATTTTGCCGTTCTACCAAATAACTCATTTTATTCCTGTCATTCTACCAAATAACTCATTGATTGACCTCATCCAAATAACTTATGTCGTTCTACCATATGATAACATTACAAATCTATTTTCTCATCAACAGACTTGCTAATTTTGCATGGTCCATTGCAGGAAAGGGAGGAAGTGATGCTGTATCGCTTTTTGCAGGAGAAATAGAGGACAAGAACCCTAGAATGGTTGCGGTTCCATATAGCTTTGCACAACTTGAGAAAGCAACTAACGATTTCTCCATTGAAAACAAGGTTGGACAAGGTGGATACGGCCCTGTTTACAAGGTACTCACATAAGGAATTTGACTAGCGTCTAATATCAGCTCAAAGTCGATTAAATTAACATCCAAAGTACAAAAACCCACATATGAGCAGACAGATAGATGGATATTTTACTAAGAATATAGTATGAAAAATAGCATTTTTCAAGTGTCATCACACCTCGTTCTGAATCATGCATGCACACGATATGTCAGAGTTCTAATACAATCATATCATAGGGCGAATTATTAGTTTGTGTTGATAACTTGAGTTATCGAAAGAAAGTATGTAAAAGTATGTCTTATAACATTCCTCTAATAGACGAAAATTGGATGTTGCGTGGCCATTTCCATTGTTAACACCTACATGTGCAGGGTGTGTTGGCCGATGGAGGGGAGATAGCAGTGAAGAAGTTGTCAATAAACTCGAGCCAAGGAGACGAGGAGTTCAAAAATGAGGTGATGCTCACTGCGCAACTGCAGCACGTTAACCTAGTCAGGGTTTTGGGATATTGTATCGAAGGAGGAGAGAGGATGTTGGTCTATGAGTATTTGCACCACAAAAGTTTGGATCATTACCTTTTCGGTCGGTATTATCATTATCTTCATCACAATATGCAATATTAATAATACTCTAACTGTTATTGATGATTAAGATACATCTTAATATACTAGATCCGATGAGGAGCTTGATGATGGATTGGGCAAGAAGAGTGGAAATCATCGAAGGAGTTACTCAAGGCCTTTTATACCTCCAAGAGTATTCCGGGCAGTCGATTATTCATCGAGATCTGAAGCCAGGCAACATTTTATTGGATTCCAATATGAAGCCCAAGATATCTGATTTTGGATTGGCCAGAATTTTGAAGACAGATTCATCAGAAGCTAACACCGAACGAATTGCTGGCACAAGGTGATGTAAGCTCTAATCAAGATTTAACGATGAAGCTAATTTACTACAACAATTCACTCAATCCTATTGTTTCTACAGAGCTTACTGCCCACGAGAGTATCTGCAGGATGGCGTGTACTCCAAGAAATCCGACGTTTATAGCTTTGGGATCCTCCTTCTGCAAATCATAAGTGGCAAGAGATGTGGTTCTCGGTACGGTCCCGATGGAGATATGGAGCTTCATGTCTATGTAAGATCCAAATCACACTACTCTATAACTACATGAGTGTCACTTTAAAATGTTGGAGAGGATTGTAAACCTTTCATTTGCTTCTTGTTGATTGATGGGTGGCAGGCGTATGAGCTGTGGAAAGAAGGTAGAGGGATGGAGATCATGGACCCTTCATTGGACGACTCGAATTCGACTTGTAAGCTGGCAGACTGCTTGAGAATAGCTTTGTTATGCATACAGAGGAAACCAATGGATAGGCCGAGTATGCAGAAGGTTTCGTCAATGCTCAGAGACCTCTACCGGAGTGACAGCACCAATAATGCAGTTGATAAGAACATTGGGATCACAGACGTAAGATTCTTCAGTGATGTTGTAATTAACATGCAATTACCTGAGTCCCCTGTTAATTCCTCGACTAATCAACTCACGGTAACAGAGTTAGATGCTAGATCATGATCATGAAAATTGTACCCTAGACAGTGGTTTGTTCTTATCCCACCACCAATTCTCTGTCTATAAAAGCATTTTGTGGCGTAAACTTGGGCTGGTGTAAACAAAATCATTGTTCAACCACTAGTTACCTTGCTCATCATAGGGACCATCCGTTTCCTGGCTCACTAAGAAGCATATTTTCTGCGTATGTGGTTGGGTTAGGAGAGTGTGACAACCTCCCCCTAGTAGGCACCTATTGGAGAGGGGGAACGAATTACCTGGACTGTGAGTAGGGATGACAATTTGAGTCTGCCCCACAACATATTATCCGACCTGACTCGTGATGGGACTGCTACTCCTTGATTTGCTGTAGCGTGGGACGAGGCATGGATATCTACTTGATCATTCTACCTCAATTTCTTATATTATTTATTCATATTTCTCCTTCAACTAGTTAGACTTGATCTTTCAACTACTTGGACTCAATTACTCATTCTATGATCACTATTTTCATTTATAAAGTAGTATCCTTTCATTTGATCGTAAAAGTAACCTTCTAAATACATTTTTTTAATAAATGTAGGAGCGAGACGATCCCGCCCCGCCCTATACTCACCTCGACTGCTCTTGGTGCGGACGGATATGAGTATTGAGGTACGCGCCCTCTACGTTTCTTAACCCGTTCTACCCTCATTTGTCATAATATTTAATTGTATTTCTCTTATTTGTACTTATCTTATATCCAAATTTCTCCCAATGGATACTTTAGATAAGTACAAGACTTTATCTTTCAACTCATTTCACTCAATTACTCTACCTATTATCTATTCTTTTCACTCATGAGCTATTTTCCCTTTGTTTTTATAGATAAAAATGAAAATTTTCTTCAAATTATATAGAAAAATTACATAATAAAAAATTTAAGAATGGATCGACCTGATCCAACCCATACTCACACAACTAATATCCAACTTTGATCCAACCCATACTCACACAAGTAATACCCAACTTAACATGCATTTGATACTATATACGAGTATGGATATTTAGATACCACCACCCATTGACATCACTATTTCCAACCTTTCGCTTAGACAACCCTTTCGAGAAGAAGCTCCAAATTTATTCACACCCTCCCTCTGTCTGCTTACTTCATCGCCATCATCGTTTTATCCCCACCGCGCAGCTTGAAAATGTCAGCAATTTTTTCTTTTGCGGTTACCATTCATCCACCCAACTCTCTCACCTCAAAGCATCCCCTGTTTTCCTCTGTTTTTTAGTCTTCAATGGCGCCTTCCTACCCACCTACCCGAGTAAAACCAGTTACCATGTCGACGATCAAACACCCAAAAGATCCAAGAACTCCATCCATATACTACAAGTCTAAATCATTGACCAATCTCATTAAAGCCGAAAGACAAGACATTCAATTTCTTACCGAAGAAATTCGGATAAGTAAACGCCTAAGCAATAAAGCATACCTCCACCATGGACCATGAGTTCATTGACCTTCAATCCAAAAGCATTGATTGATTCCCCAAACTTTGCTGCTTTAAGCTAAGCAAAGAAAATCAAAGATCGAAATGCGGCTATAAGTGGAGTTTGAATTTCTCAGTTTTTCAAACGAAGAGCAATTCAGAATCCTCTGTTTTGCTTTTGTTGTCAATGGCGGAGTGGATTAACCATTGAAAACACTTCATATATCGAAAATCGGATTTTCCAGAAGGAGATCCAGAAAATCCTTTCAAACACTTCTTCTTGCTTACTTCATCGCCATTATCTATCCCACCGAGTTTGAAAAGGTCCGAAAACAATTGCCTTTTGCCGTGTCCATCCATCCAACTTTCTCGCTATATATAGCTCCTCTGTTTTCTTCATCCCAAAAAACACCATCTCAAAAACCTCCCCTGTTTTCGTCTTCTTTCAAAATGGCGCCTTCCAAGCTTATTACCATGTTCATCTCCACCGTCCTGCTGGTTCTCCTCCTCCGCCCTGCTGCCGCGCAAGCTCCATCCGTTGTCAGAGGCGGTTACTGGTTCCCGGAAAGTGGGTTCGCCGCCTCTGCCATCAACTCCAGGCTTTTCACTCACCTCTTCTGCGCGTTCGCCGCAGTTGACTCGGGGACCTACCGGGTCACCATCTCCTCCGCAAACCAGCCTCAATTTTCGAGCTTTACCCAGACGGTTCAGCGGCAGAACCCGTCGGTGAAAACCCTTTTGTCGATCGCCGGCGGCAGCGCCAATCTCGCGACTCTTGCTGCCATGGCGAGTCAACCGGGCAGAAGGAAGGCGTTCATCGATTCCTCCATTAGCCTTGGTGAGTATAAGTTAGAGAAGAGATACAAAATTTTGAACCTTTTTCGTAGTCCAAAAAGGCGTGACTAGGCGCTAAGCAACAACAAAACGTTTAAGATTTCGTAATAAGTTAGGAATATTCAAATGTAAATAAACTTAACATCATCTAAAATCTCAATCTTGTCTCAACATTTTGAGTCGTTTAATAACTTTATGAGTAATTAGTTTATAATTCTATTAACTTGTGAGCTGTGTTTTTATTGCTAAGTGTTAACTAAATTATTAATCATTTTCACTGAAATGCAAAAGTGTTATAAAATGCTATTTAATTATTCATAATTTGAGACAAATTGTTATTTTTGCTTCCAACGTCTAGACATACACATAGTTCAACCTTACCTTTTTTACAGCAAGACAATACAATTTCCATGGCTTGGACCTCGATTGGGAGTACCCATCGGACACAACCCAGATGGCCAATTTCGGCGCCCTCCTCACCGAATGGCGCGCCGCCGTGGCGGCGGAGGCTAGGAGCTCCGGCAAGCAGCCTCTGCTTCTCACCGCCGCCGTCCTCTACTTACCCTACTACTACTCCTCCGCCGTCCCGTACCCCATCAGAACCATATCAAACTCCCTGGACTGGATCAACCTGATGGCCTACGACTTCTACGGTCCCGGCTGGTCGCCGACGACCACCGGCCCGCCGGCGGCCCTGTACAACCCCGGCCGCCGGGAGAGCGGCGACAACGGGGTCAACTCATGGACCCAATCCGGACTTCCCGCCAAGAAAATCGTCCTCGGAATGCCGTTCTACGGGTGGTCATGGCGGCTCGCCGACGCCGGGAAGAACGGACTTTTCTCGCCGGCGAATGGGAAGGCGTTGGCCGGAGAAGGGTCGGCAGGGTATAATCAGATTAATTCGTTTATTGCGCAGAACAGGGCGACCAAGGTGTTCAATTCCACGGTCGTTTCGGATTACTGTTACAGCGGGACGACTTGGATTGGATACGACGACGTACAGAGCGTTTCGACGAAGGTTGCTTATGCCAAGAGGAAGGGTTTGCTTGGCTACTTCGCTTGGCATGTTGGTGCTGATGACAATTGGGCTCTCTCTACCAGAGGTTTGAAAACTTTCACATTGTTTGCTCAAATCCATACATTGTTATCGCGATTCGTTTATTGTTAGTTTTTATTTTATGATTTCTAATACGATTTTAGGAGGAAATGTCGATAAGATTTGGTGTTGATTTTGACTCGGATTTTGATTTGGTTTATTGAAAGTGTGAGAATCTTCGTCTATCATGCTAACGAGGGAATTGTGTTTTCTTTGGCTATGGCAGCATCGCAGGCATGGGGAGCTTGAGGAATGGCGGTCAAGTGTTGGAGCAAAGGGATCGATGAAGTAATAATGCTAAATACAATAATGTGAAGGCATGTTTGTCATATGATATTACTAAATAAGTATAAAATACTTGGATTCTCAGTTCCTCACCATGCAAGGGGGTAAAATAGAGGAAACAAAGGTTGTATTTGTTTCCACTTAAAAGAAACCTTAATCTAAGAACTCGAAACATTACCATCTCTTACATCGATGATTGATCTTATAGTTAGAGAAAAGTCTGAGTCGATAATCGGTCTTAACAGTATGGAGAAGTTTAAAGCATATTATGTTTTTTTTTTTGTGAGAAATAGGGCGCAAAGGGCGCCCTAGCCTGTATTAAGAACTGACAAAACAGGGCGTTTGAATCCCCAAAGTATCAAAGTACAACCAATATAGAAGAGTGCTACTCGGGTTGTGAATCACATTAATCCCTATAGGAACAGAATGGCCAATGGAAGCGAGGTGGTCAGCCACGAAATTCGCTTCTCTGAAAACATGCTCTATCCTGACAAGCCAAGGCCGAGCTAGCCATTGGCGGATCTCTGCGACGCAGGAATAATGAGGATGCTGCGGAGTAGCTTTGTCGATCAACGTCCGGGCAGTGCAGGAGTCTGTCTGTAGGACAACCTTCCTGATCCCCTCTTCCCAAGCGAGTCTCAACCCATAAGCAATCCCAGCCAGCTCAGCACGAGTGATCGAACCCCCTCCCAGGTTTGCTGTGAATGCTCTTATAAGGTGGCCATCGTCTCCCCTCACGACGCCGCCACAGCTCGTGCTTGCAGGAGAGAGAGTAGCTGAGCCATCGATGTTAACACAGGCCCAACCACTCGGCGGTGGCTACCAGTTGATTTCCCGCCTCTCTCGGAGTCCCCCGGCTCCGAACACGTTACTCTCCTTCTCAAAGGCCTTGGTGATCTGAGACCTTAGCTGTTTTGTTGTAAACTGGAGCTGCTCATGGGTTTTCAACTCACTTCGGAACAGGTGATCATTCTGGTTCTTCCACAGCAGCCAGCACGTGCCTGCAAAAAGAGTACTGTCGATGACGTTACTACGGCCAGATAAGTAATGAAAAGACCACCTGTGAAGATCGAGTTGGAAAAAGTTGGCATCCGGTTCATCATCAAGGATCCCCGCCCAAGTGGCTCTCGCGAAGGGGCAATCTCGCACGATATGAATCGCTGTCTCCGGGCCCCCACCGCAAATCTTGCAGGCGACATTCGTAGTCAAGTGGCGGCGAGCTCTTTCGGCGTTGGTCAGGAGGCGGTTGTGATTTAGCAACCAGAGGAATGAGCGGACCCTCTGCATGGTAGGCGTCTTCCAAATCGATCTCCAAATGGGCTGTCTTGTGGTCGAACTTGCATTGACGTCCGTTACTTCATAGGCAGTACGAAAGGAGAAGCCTCCATTCTCCGTCAGCCTCCAGTATCGCACGTCCGGCTCACTCTTCGTCGGCGTCGGGTGCAATAGAATCTGCGAAACAATGGCACGAGGTAAGTACACGTCCAGAAAGGCTTCGTTCCACTTACCATTGAGGACGAATTCGTAATGTGATTTATAACTGTGAAAAAGCGTTGGAGCACACACCATTTACTAGAGATCGGTGATGAGATTCATGAGAGAATGCTGATACCATGACAAAATCAAAGAGTCGTTGTTTATAATATTTTTTTCATACACAAAACATGAATTGTCTGTGTGAGGTAACATAAACTACCACTCTATTTGAGTGAATATTATATCTCAACGTTTAATATTGTTGAATTGTGGTATAAACTACCACTCAAATTTATCAATACATGTATTCACCACGGTACATCTATTTAACAACCGCAAATTCGAAACCACCTCTTAGCAGTTAAATTCCAGCCAAAACAAAAAATAAACCCTTTCACTGGTTTAGCCATTAGAACACACACTCTCTCTCTCTCTAACCTTTCGTTATTTAGGTTGATATGACTTGAATCAGATAATGTGTCATTGATCGCAAGAGTGAAATTCATTGGGTTTGATATGTAACCTTATTATTTATCATATTGGATTAGCATTAGCCCATATGTTAAAGTACTATCTACTATTTACACTTCTCAATCCTTCTGAAATATGTAAATTATCAAGAATAATAAAACCGACTCTATCCTATTCGTTTACCAGCTAACACACAATATGTTGATAAACCACATAAATCTATAATACATTAGGTTCATAAACCACATACATCTATGTTATTTACGTTTTTTACATTATCGATTATACTAATATGCTCTAGGTTCTAACTAGGGGTGTCAGTTCGGGTCGGGTTCAGTTACCCGAACCGAAACCCCAAAAAACCCGAAACCAAAAATTACTGAAACCGAACCCAAACCCGATACGGACTTGCAGGTTCGAGTTCAGTGTTAGAAACACATTATTTGCAGTTTTTGGTTATTTCGAATTATTGTCAGTTTTTGTTAATTGGGGGATTATTTGGGGTATTCGGGCAATAAACATGGAGTCAATTGTTACGTATTATTAGTTGGGTAGGAGGTAGGAATTAGGCGGATTATATAATCTGCAGCAGGGTGTTATTTTCCCATTAAGCAATAAAAATAACAAAAACCTAAATCATACTCTCTCTCCTTCCCTTCCCTTCCCTTCCCCTCTTCCTCTCCCAAAGCTGCCGCTATAGGTGTCAAAACATGATCCGAACCGAGTAACCCGCCCAACCAACCCGATCCGCGACCCGCCCGCAACTCGATTGGACTAAAAGTCAAAGACCCGCAACCCGCCCGACCCGCAATCCGCTTGACCCGCAACCCGCGTAACCCACAACCCGCTTGACCCTCAATCCGCTTGACCCGAACCCGATTGACTAACAACCCGCTTGGCCCGTAACCCGACTAACTCGAACCCGATTAACCCAACCCGAACCCGCCCGATTGGCACGAATAATACTACATAATATATTTTTGTGCATAAATATTATATGTAAATAATATATATAAAGTTTACTTGACTTGCCTTATTATTTTTTCATCTTTCCCACCAAGAACAAAGGTTTACTTTGTGTTGACAAATGACAACTGTCATTAAATTGAATCACATAATAGTCTCACTGTCTCGGTAAATTGAATTACATAATACTTTCTGGTCTCTCTGCCTTTTAGTTGAATCAAATAAACAACAAGTTCAAATTGTAACAAATCAATTACGTGGACTAGCTGGCTTATGTGCTGGTCTATCCCATTCGAGGGACACGGTTCAAAGCCCAGTAGAGACATATTTGTTTAACATGTTTTTGTATGTCAACTTATACATAAAATTCACTTAATGTATAACATAGTTAGTAAAATATGGTAAGAGAAAGTTACGTATAAAATACTTACGGGTATTACACTTCGTCTTTTAGGTAATGCTACGTTTAATAGTACGTTAATAGTAATAAATATATAAAACTAATTACTTTTATAAATAAATCAATATGTAAAAATAGTAAAGTTAATAATACATAAAATTCACTTAATGTATAGCATAGTTAGTAATATATGGTACGAGAAGGTTACGTATAAAATACTTACGGGTATTATACTTCGTCTCTTAGGTAATGTTACGTTTAATAGTACGTTAATAGTTATAAATATATAAAACTAATTACTTTTATAAATAAATCAATATATAAAAATAGTAAAGTTAATAATTCATTTCATTAAATACGGATATTAAACGTTTGGAGTCGTAGGACATATGTTCTTCTCAATAACCAACAATGTCATAATACATAACTATAGTTCATAGTTTAAGGTTAGTGCATAGGGTATACGGTAGTGGACTCGTGGTTTAGAGTTTGGAGTCATAAGACATATGTTCTTCTCAATAACCGAATATAAAATTGACTCAACTTACATTCTTCGCATAACATACGTTGTAGCTTATTCCAACAATTTCATATCATATAACTATAGTATAGGGTATAGCCGTATAGGGTCATGGTTTAGAGTTCATTGTTTGCATGTTTGGGTTATGGAATTATGGTTAAGGGTTGAGGTTAGTTTTAGGGTTAATTACTTAATGTTGTGATTTAGGATAATGTATGGTTGATGGTTAAGGTTAGTTTAAGGTTTCAGATTTAAAATGGTGTTATAGGGTTAGGGTTTAGGGTTTAGGGTTAGGGTTTCTTCGTGGTTATGCTTTGTGCACTACAAGAAAACAGAGGTTTAGTGTCGGCTGAGTTGAGTCGGTTCACTTAACCGACACTAAAATTCTATTTTGTGTCGAAGATTTGTGTCGGTTACTTAACCGACACTATTTTCTCCAATTTTGCGTCGGTTAAAATTAAACCGACACAATTTTCAGCATATTTGAGTCGGTTTTACTTGTAACCGACACAACTATTGTTGGTTTGGGTCGGTTTTGTTATGAACCGACACAATTCCACTTACCGCCCAAATTTTATTAGTGTTTTAAATGACCGCCAAAATTTTAGTGGCCAAACTTCCATACCCGCCCAAAAAATTCACCTCAACCATTCTAAATTTCATATGCCGCCCATTCCAATTTCCTTTATTATTTAATCTTTACTATTTTTCCCAGACCCAACATATCACGATCCTCCTCCCATGTGCTCATCTCTCCCCCTCCCCTGCCCTCTCTCTTCTCCAATGAACAAACACAAACCCAGAAACCCTCTTCTCCTCTACGACGAACAAACCCAGCAACCCTCTCGTCATCTCTGATGCTTCCCCTGCCCTCTCTCCTCCTCTCCGGTGCTTCCCCTTCCGCCATCGAGATCACCTCTTCGTCGAGTAGCCGCAAGCAATCTCCACCGCCTTCAATCTCCAGGAATCGCTTGCCACCTTGGAGAACAACCGAAGAAGATCAGCCGCTCGATCTGTCTTTCTCTGAGCTGCAGAGCAACAGGAGAGATCCACCACTCGATTTGTCTTCCCAGCGTTTGATCTGGGGATTTTTCCTTAACCTCTGCCTGCTGGTTCACCTGCGCTTCCCCAAATCGAAGAAGGCTGGTGTTGATTTCTTGATTTTCTGGATTTAGAGGATGAAAAGAGGCCATTTGCTTAACCAAAGCATTTATTTTTACTGGCAGATGCAAGCAATAGCTACCACCCACTGAATTCAAGGTAACATTTGATTGCTCATGTCCTTGTACGATACTCTTTATAGTGTGGTGTACTCATGTAGAGGAAATGGCAAGCATCAACTGCAGCACAAGAACAACCAGCAGCAGAAGCAGTAGGTTAATGTGTGTTCTAATTGAACTTTGAGTGTTCAGTATATGTCCTAACTTAACCTTGCTGTGATCCAGGTTCAGCTTGGAGACTGGTGCTGGAAATTTTAGTCTTTTCTGCAATTCCTCATATGGCAGTAGAAGCAAGTCTCTGTCCTCTACTACTAAGTTGTTGCAATTGATTAATTATATAAGGTAGGTAGGTGGTTGTACAAGAAATTGCAGGAATCACTGACGCCATACATTTATTGCTTGGTTTGGATAGTTGTAACTGGTGAGGATGAAGTTTGAGGGCTGTGAGCTTCTATGAAGTTGTTTTTAGTTGAGCTATTATGATGTGCTTCTACTCTGTTTTGTCATGACTTCTTGGGACTGGATAAGTGTTCGTAGTGCTTTGTATATGGTTTATTTATTTCTGATTGCTTCAGCAGTTGAGTTTGCTAGAGAGAGTAGTAACTTTGAACTCCTTTGAATTATGTTTCTAGGGTGGGAAAGGCTTGAAGGTCTTAAATGCCTTGAGCGGACAATTGGAAGCAAAATTATGGAATCGATGAAGAAAAGGCAAACCTGGAAACTATAGTTACAGAGCAAGAAAATGTTATCTCATAGATCTGTAATTGGTTCTCATTAGGTTGAGTTTCATCATACAACAATGAGTTTTTTTTTTAAATTGTATGTTATTTACCACTGATCCATAAATGATATTTGTATCGGTTGTATTCATATTAATGTTAGAATCTCATGTTACAAAGAGTTCATGTTTTCAATTTGCATGTTAATATATGTATAGTGGATATATGAGCGGTTTATAATTAGCTACGCGAAAATGCAGTGCTAGATATTAGTATTTAATTATAGTTACAGGAAATTAATAATTTGTAGATGAAGTTGAGTAAGGAATATTAAAAGCGTGTGTTACCATATAAAATAAGAATGAAAGTTAAATTATACTAGAAAGCACGAATAAGCACGAATGTGAACAAAATAAAAGCACGACATAGACATGATCAGGCACGGCACGGCTTGACTCGTGCTTGGGCCTGGGCCTAATAAAACTGTTAAATGGGCTTGTATGGCACGACACGAAATTTAATGGGTTGTGCCTAGCATGGCACGAATCTAGTCATTCTTTTTTTTTTATCCAAGATAAGCCCCAAGGCATGGCCGGACAACAAAATACAAAACATATAATAATAAAGAACGGTAATCCGTATGCAACCGGATTCCCGATGAAAGAGCTTGTTATGCCACTAGGTGGGCAGCTCTGAGAAAGCTCCAAGGAGCGAAAAGACACGAAACTGACACGAGGGCAGAAAGAGAGAGAAAAGAAACTTCCCTGAAAGTGGCTCATGCACTGGGAAGAGAATGCTTCCTCGATGTAGGATCCATGTTGATCAGTTGAGAAACCCCGCAATATGTAACAATCAATACATTAAGGGTAAGATACAATCACATAGCCTCACTAAAGACAAGCAATTTGATATGATCATCGATAATACCATAATAGAATTATGAAAGTCAAATGGAATAGTTTCATCACCTGAGAAGCCGACCGAGTCAGTTGCACATCCTTGAAGATTCTTTGTAACAATTGAATAAATCATTTAACGAGACTTGCTTTCCATCATAGGTTGAGGAGATGCTTGATCATAACTTCACAATACTAAATTTTCCTGTACAGATACCAGCTACAAAGGCACCACAAGGTGCTAAAAATCTCTAAATGAAGAGATTAAAATCTGTCAAGAGATATAGTCGGACTTCACCGAAAATTCCACATCAATAATGCGGTTTCATCCCGAAGAAAGTGAGTTAATTCTGAAAAGTAAAAATATAACTGAGCTTGCTCAAATAAATTAAATAAATAAATAATATTTACCTAATCATTGTTACCGAAAGAGAATTGATGACGAAAACGTAGATTAAGGGAATAATAAAAGCTAACAACTAGCAATTGAAATCATAAATGAGATAATTAAGAAAGGAATTAAATTAATTCAAAAATTTTCTGTTTCGGAAACTTACCTTTAACGTAATTACCTTATACGGGAGCGGTGACGCAAATTCAGCGCGGTCTTCATCAATGGCTTGACTCGCCGGCGATTTCATCAATGACGACCCCCATCGCCGGAACGACGATCCACGAAACTACCGACCGCTCAAGGTTTTACTATACCCGGGTATCATACCTCTCAGAAATTCGGGGCGACCATTTTGATCCCAAAACTTACACAGCAGGTATTTGTGGCCTGAGCAATGATGTTGCTTATGGAGCTTGCCTCCTCCTTCGCAACCTCTAATTCTAAAGGGAAGAGCCTCAGATATGTAGTCCCTCCTTGTAGTATCAGTCAGAGAGAGATAAGCAAAGGGATCGTGACCGGCGGCGGGGAACTTCCAATTCGAGCGGTGAGGGGGGGAGCGCTAGTTGGCAGCGGCGGAACCGTTGGCGGTGGCCATCATCTTCTCGAACTCCTGGAAATTGACGCATCCGTCGCCGTCGAAATCGACGCCCTTGATCATCCTGGAGCACTCCTCCATGGAGCACTTCATCCCGAGGCGGTTGAGCACCTGGTGGAGCTCGGACCCGGAGATGCGCCCGTCCTTGTTCTCGTCGTACAGGTCGAAGGCCTCGCGGAGCTCCTCGGCGGCGGCCGAGGACGAGCGGCAGAGCTGCGCGAACTCCTCCAGGTTGATGAAACCGTCCTTGTCGGCGTCGATGTCCTCCATCCTGCAATAGATTGTTTAATTGTGTGAAAATGATTCATTATTAAAAAAACCAGCTGATGACCTCTGTTGGTTTAATAATGTACATTCATGTTTTATTCATTGCAATATGGTGATCGGTGAGTTTGTTTTAAATTAGTGTAATAACTCCCTCAAAAAAAAAATATTGTAATAACTAATTATAAAAAAACTCGATGGTGTGGAACAACCCGCAACCCGACCTGTGGTAACCCGCAATCCGATCAACCCAAACCCGATTGATCCGCAACCCGATCAACCCGTAACCCGACTGATCCACAACCCGATCAACACAAACCCGATCAACCCGCAACCCGATCAACCCTAACCCACTTGACCCGCAACCCGACTGAACCCGACCCGAACCCGCCAGATTGACACCTATAGCTGCCGCAGCAGCAGCCTCTTCCCCTCTCCTTGTTCTACAAATTCCCCCAAATCCCAATCCCTAGTTAGATCAATCCCTAATTGATCTAGCTAATTTCCCCAATCCGAACTCGTTAGAAACTTTGTTTCTAACATTCGGTTAAAGCAAAACCGAAACCCGAAAACCCGAACACCTAATAATACGGGCCGAGTTCTATTCATTGGAGGTTTTTAGCCGGAACCCAAAAAACCGATAAGCAAAACCGAACTCGAAACCAAAAAACCAAAAATGTATATAATCGGATCGGTTTCGGGTAAACCCGAAAAAACCAAACCCGAATGGACACCCCTCGTTCTAACAATCTCCATTCCATCTCATAACCTCCCCTGTTTGCATCTGTTTTGGTGGGCGATTTGCAGGCTGAACCTCGACGCTAATGGAGCTCTCGTGGGCTTCCTTCTTGCAATAAATAGATAGAAAGAAGGGGCCAACTTCAATCAAATACAGCGAAGCATTGAAAAGAGACGAGTTAAAAAAGAAAGAAAGTCCCCACTCACTCTGTTTCTCTGACACAAGTGCCCGTGAAGCCCTGCTCCATCAGCATAAATACCATTCCCCATTTCACTCAAATCTTTAGTCTCTTCCAATCGAAGTCACAGACTCGCCCAATGCTTTTTACAGACCTCCATCATCGTTATCATCATCTTCATCATCATGATGATTTCCCAATTTCAACGGCCCTGATTCCTTCACCTTCCCCCTCTACCCTCTATCTCCTTCCTGCTTTAAGACTTCAGTTAGCTCAGCTCTAAAGGAGGAAAAAAGGCTCCAACTTTCAAACTATCCTCTCAAAAATCTCCAAATGGGCATCTTCCAATTCTCCCCAGCTCCTCTGTTTCGACTCCTTCTTCTGCTTCTCTCTGTCTCTCCCCTGTTTCTCCCGGGCATCAATGGAAAGACACACTGGGGAGATACATTAGTTTTGAAGCAGCTGAAAGCCAGTATTGACCCAAGCTCTGTCACTCCAGGCTCCTGCTTAAGCTCCTGGGATTTCTCCTCCGACCCCTGCGACTCCCTCTTCAGCGACCGCTTCACCTGCGGCTTCCGCTGCGACATCGCTGATGTCGCCGGCGTCAGCCGGGTTACCGAGCTCGCCCTCGACCAGGCCGGTTACTCCTCCGATTCCCTCGACTCTGTCTCGTGGAACAGATTGCCTTACCTCCAAACCCTCGACCTCTCCAACAATTACTTCCATGGCCCGTTACCCAGCAGCTCGCTCTCCAACCTCACTCGCCTGACCCGGCTCGGCCTCTCGGGTAATTTCTTCTCCGGCGAGATACCCGCTTCCTCAATCGCCTCCCTGACCGGCCTCGAAGAGCTCTACCTCGACCACAACAATCTCCAGGGAGGAATCCCTCCCGAATTCAACGCCCTCGTAGGATTAAAAAGGCTCGAACTCCAATCCAACAATCTCTCCGGTGAGTTCCCCGAGCTGGGTTCTCTCAAAACCCTCTACTTTCTCGATGCCAGCGACAACCCCGGGATAATCGGGAATTTCCCCGCAATTTTGCCTCCCAATTTGGTCCAAATCTCAATGAGGAACAACTCGATTGAAGGGAAATTGCTCCCCCAGAGCTTCCAAACCCTAACTTACCTCCAAGTCCTGGATCTGAGCCACAATCGACTCACCGACTCTGTCCCTCTAATCCTCTTCAACAGCCCTTCCCTCCAGCAGGTCACTCTGTCCCACAACTCCTTCTCCTCCATCGAATCCCCGCCCACCCTCGCAACCCTTCTGCAGAGCGAGCTTATCGCCGTCGATCTCAGCAACAACGACCTCCGCGGCTTCCTGCCGTCGTTCATGGCGATGATGCCAAAGCTCTCAGCTTTATCACTCGAAAACAACAGATTCACGGGCATGATACCGACCCAGTACGCCGTGAAGGCCGTTCTCCCCGGAGCCGGCGTTTCCCCCTTCGCGAGGCTGCTGCTGGGAGGGAATTACCTGTTCGGACCCATCCCGGGTCCGCTGATGGGGCTCCGACCCGGTTCGTCGAACGTGAGCCTGCACGATAACTGCCTCTACCGCTGCCCGGCGGCGCTGTTCTTCTGCCAGGGCGGCGACCAGAAATCGCTGGTGGAATGTAGGAATTTCAGCCCTGTAAAGGAGGGAGATTAAAAATTAAGAATGGAATTGGGGCTCCCTCCCAATTGTTGTACATTTCTGTCGGGTCTCCTCTGTTTTCTTGCTAATTGTAGGCTTTGTACTGTATTATTCTTTTTTTTTTAAATTAATTATTTTGTTTTTGTTTTGTAATGTTTGGACGGTTGAGATTCGAGCTTGGTAGTGCGGGCCTCATGCTTCTTTTTCCCTGATTAAGTGATTATCGTTTTCCTGAATTAGTAGGCCCTAGGCTTTGCTGGATCTCTGACAGGCTCAATTTTAGGACCACGAGCACGGAGTGGGCCGTTGTGTTGCAGGACATGGAGGTCTTGGCCCACTGAGTTCTGCTGTGGGCTCAATTCCCACCACCAAGATAGACACAAGGTTGTCAGCCCGGTTTAGCGTTGATTCGGTCGAGCATGTGGGTTGGTCTCATATGATGGCATGGGGCGAGGTTGGGGTGGATTATCCTAAACTATGTCTTTCCAATTTCGAAATATCCAAATGCATTCCCGCTCCATACTCATGCATGGAGGTTTAGCAATCTCATCCCCATACACGTGGTTTTTGGGTATCCGTGGTTAATTTTTCGCCCTACATATATAACTAGAATTCAACAAATAGATATTTAATTATAACACAAAACAGACCTAATAAATCACGAAATCACAAAAAGTGACAACCTTTTCTCTATATGAATGACAAAACATCCAATCATAGAATATCATTTAACTCGTAAGAAAATGTACTATACTGTCCAAATAAATGAATAATTCATATCTCCGACACATGTACGGAACGATAAATAATTAGAATAACATTTTTTTTTTAATAAAGGAAAAAAAGTGAAAGAGTGAAGAGAGAATTGAGAGAATTAAATTGGTATTTGATTTGGGTGGTTACTCAATTACATTTCCACTCACCACTAAAGCGACTATAAATAGACATAGTTAAGCCTAGGGCTAACTATAATTGCTAATACTAGTAGAATGTAGTATATACTCCAATTGGATCTCAACTCATTGTCGAATTTGTTCATGCATTTTGACTTTTACTAATCCAACTTTTTTCCCAATCCGGCAAATCACTACAACCGCCACACTATAAAAAAATATGAATCGAGACAAAGAACTAAACCTAGGTCGGTAAATACTATGGACTAGCCGTGTGTATTAGACTATTAGTACAGCTTTTCCCATGTGCCAATCACCCCAAGCCAAAGACAGAGCAACATTGGAATATATATAAAATATGATCCACAAAATATCAAACGATGCCAATGTTCCTAGCTTTATATTGTTGAATCCGCAAAATTTCACAATATATTCTCTATCTCTTCCACCAAAAACCTCTCACAATCTTCTATTGCATTTTACGTCATACTTTAATAATACTCGAAACATTGTTCAAATTATCGCACGTCTGAACTGAGCTATATTCGTAATCGAAAACTTACCATATGGCTCACCAATCCTCTCTTCTTCTTCTTCTAATAGCCATCTTCCTCCCTCTCCACCTCCACTTCTCGGTCGCCGCCGACGTCAGAGGCGGCTACTGGTTCCCCGGCGGCGGGTTCCCGATCTCCGACGTGGACTCGACCCTTTTCACACACCTCTTCTGCGCGTTCGCTGATCTCGATCCTTCCACCTATGGAGTCACCATTTCTCCACAGAACCAGCCTCAATTCTCGAACTTTACTCCGACGGTGGCGAAGAGAAACCCTTCGGTGAAGACCCTTTTGTCGATCGGCGGGGCAGGGGCCAATTCCTCTGCTCTGGCTTACATGGCCGGAGACCCGACGGCCCGCCAGGTGTTCTTCAATTCGTCCATGGACCTGGCCAGGAGTTACGGCTTCGATGGGCTTGATTTGGACTGGGAGTTTCCTGGCTCGGGGAAAGAGATGGCGGATTTTGGGACGTTGGTGGATGAGTGGAGAGTTGCTGTGAATGTTGAGGCTGTTAGGTCGGGGAAGCCACCGTTGATTCTCTCGGCGGCGGTTTACTACTCGCCGTTTTACTCGTCGCCGTTGGTTGCTTACCCGGCTCAGGTTATATTACTTTTTGCTCATTCCAACATTTAACATTCACAAATTATAATATTCACCCGAGAATTTATTGCGAAACCATACTAAAAGTTGCACCAACAAAATCAATAGTAAATTATTTTGATTTTCTGATGAAATCGCGGTTTAATCGTTTGTCGATTTTTCCAGTTGAACTGCTGATACTTTAGCAACTCACTACTTTTGACTTCTCACAACTAGGAGGTGTGAATCCATTCAATTCACACTAAGTCGAAATCGAACCGATTTATATTTTGAATTAAATAAAGTGATACAATCTAAAATTTAAGACTTTATTTACACCCTCGATTCATACAATCTGACGCAATGCACTTTTGAAGTTTTCATCCAATTATGATCCTCGTTCTTTCTTTATATTCGGTACAAAACTAAAATCGTTTCGATCTGATAAAAATCCAACTGTGTATGTATTTTGCAGAGCATAACAAACAGTTTGGACTGGATCAACGTGATGGCCTACGATTTCTACGCCCCGGGTTGGTCGCCGAACATAACCGGACCACCCGCCGCCCTTTACAACCCGGACCAACCCATCAACGTAGATATTGGGATCACAACTTGGATTCAACAGGGTTTGCCCGCAGAGAAAGTGGTCCTCGGCCTTCCCTTCTACGGCTACGCCTGGAGTCTCGTCGACTCGAACCAGACCGGCCTCTACGTACCGGCTAACGGGACGAACCAACCGTGGGGTGGAGCAATGACCTATAACCAGATCAATCAGTTCATTGCACAGCAAAACGGTACGAATAACGTGTTCAATGCGACCGTCGTTTCGCAGTACTGCTACAGTGGCACCACGTGGATTGGCTATGATGGTCTTGGTAGCATATTTGGGAAAGTTCTGTATGCGAAGACGAAAGGGTTGGGTGGTTATTTTGCTTGGCATGTTGGTGCTGATGATAATTGGAGCCTCTCAACTACAGGTTCGTTTTTTGCGGGTTTTTGATGAAAATGTGTTTATATTTGACTTGTCAATTAGAGTCTTGAATTTTTTTTTTGTTTCACTTTGTTTTGATGGTTTAATATCTGTCGTTCGAGACGATATAGGACATGGGTTAGTTGGAGGTAGAGTGAGGGATCGAAACTGAGGTGTCTAGGGTAGATGACATGCGAGTCATAAGAAACGCGTGCTTACTAAGATTGAAGTCAGATTCACTATAAATGCAAACCAATTATTTTAGCAGAATATGAAACGTGCTTGCTAAGATTGAGGTCGGATTCACTATAAATGCAAACAAATTATTTAGCACAATATATGTGAAACTGATTAACGAGATAACGCCGAAACTGTATACATTAAAAATTATGGTTTTAGTGATGTATTTTGCTAAACTACATAGACCCGAAAATGCCAATAAACCATCATATAACTATATCCATGTCTTCATCTTTGTCTTTGGCCACAGCCTTGCAGACATGGGGAGGAGCTTAAATTCTGATGAGATACGATGCAGCTCGAATAGTGTTTATATGATCACATTTGCATACATGTATTTCGTGTTTATCGTTATCTTATCCGAATCTCCTATTTGAGGTCGTTGTTAAATGTTTAATTATTGTGCCATTTTCTATTGTTGGCTTGATCAATAAGAAGATATTTTGTAATGCGTTATGAAACTAAACACATTTTCGTATATAAATTATCGACACAAAATCTAGGATGATGACTCATCCAACCTACTCGGGTTAGTAGGATGAGTTGGTTTCGACATCGAACTCCAACTACTTGATGATGGAATCGCATTTTTCCATGGTAACATTATCTTTATAAAAAATATAGATTCATTTGATCGTTTTGAATGATCATTTGACCAAACTCGAATATATGCAAATCGTCCATAACAAAACCACCATAAAAATCCTCAAAAAATGAGGAAAATAGATGTTACCTACCTCATTAGCTACAACTCTTTGCCATTTTCCTGACCATCACTGTTCATATGGTTCTCAGGGAAAATAAGGCTTCCCGCCCGCCAAGAAACCGACAACGCGAACTTAACAGAAGCTTTCATCGACTTCATATCATCATCTTCCCAATCCCCTCCCCACGCTTCCATGGCTGCAAAACAAAAAATTCAAAAACCCAAAACGCAGAATCCAAAACCCTGGAATCACAATCATCATTCCCACCAACCTGTCCTGGAAAGTCCCCAGTTCTCATCCATCCCCAAATGCCACAGAGAGTAGCCAAGCAATCCTTTCTCCTGACCATAAACAACCTTCTTCACGATCGTCAGATAGTTATCATACCCGATCCAGATCCCGTCGTCTGAGAAAGAACAATCCGCTCCAATCGTGGAGTTGAACGAGCTCGCAGCTCGATTCCGCACTATGAACTTCCTGATTTCCCGAAATGCAATCGACCCATCGCTGGAATCAGAGATTTCGGGTATTGTACCAGCAGCAGGGGAGAAAAACCCGTCTCTTCTTTTCGGGTCGGAAAGCTTCCAGGCGTAGCCGTAGAGAGGGATTCCCATGACTATTTTCCCCGCCGGGAAACCGAATTCGATCCAGGAGCTGATTCCGGAGTCGGCGCTGATTTCATTTCCAGGGTTGTACAATGCGGCCGGAGGCCCTGTTATTTGAGAAGAAGAAACAGGGGAGTAGAAGTCGTACGCTATTACATTGATCCAATCAAGGGTTTCCGCCATATCCCGAACCGGGTACCGACCCGAATCGTGTTCCGGTGAGCGGAACACTCTGGCGGTTAGAATCAAGGGCTTTCCATTTTCCGATGAGGTGATAGCTCGCCGCCACTCTGTCACCAATTGGGCGAAATCGGCCATCTGAGAAGGGCTTGAAGGGTGGATCCAGGAGAGGTCGAGGCCGTCGAATCCGAGAGAAGTTGCTAATCTGATTGATGAATCGACGAATTTCTTTCGGGAACTTGGTCGAGCCGCCATTGCTGTGAAATCGTTGCTCTCGCTGGCGATTGAGAGAATCGTCTTGACGGCGGGGTTTCTACGACGGACGACGGTCGAGAAGGTGGAGAATGCTTGAGCATTTGAGGTGGGGATTGATACGCGGCTGGTTTGGGGATCGAGATCTGCGGATGCGCAGAAGAGGTGGGTGAAGAGGGCGGAATCGATGTCGGCGACTGGGAAATCGCCGCCGGAAAACCAGTAGCCGGATTTCACAACGGCGGCGGAAGATGGGAAGGCGGGGAAGAGCGGAAGGGAAATGAGGATGTAGAAGAAGAGGGTGTTGACTTCCATTGAAGATGAATCGAATGAAGGAAGAAAGGAACTGCTTTGTCTTTCTCGGCCGTTGACTAATCAGTAATCTCTCTGTTTGGCTGCCGAGAGAAAAGAAAAAGACGAAGAAGAGATAGCTGATGGGAATCGCGAGAAAACTTCACTCCATCTTCCGCGGAATCGGCGGACACGTGGCTTCGTTTGACCAATTTGGAAAGAGGAGAACATGGGCCTACATTTGATTTACGATAGCCCGGCCCAATCTAGGCCCAATTTGACTTGGTAGTTCTCTTTCAAATAAAGCAGAGATGGTTTGAAGCAGAAGAGATTAGTCAAGAGTCTCATCCATCGCCGTTGTTCTCCTCGCCGGCAGCTGCTCTTTCCGCCGGCCACAACTGCATTGCCAATTTGTGATTGGGTCTTCTTATCCGCTTAATGGTATATTTACCCTCTACCCCCTTTCTCTCTGTCAAGTCTCTGCTTTTTACGGTCCCTCTTCTACCCCCGGAAGTAATTTCTTTCTCTAAATCCCTTCTTCTCTATCTCCTAGCTTTTACAGATTCGGTCGCTTGATTATTTCGTTCCTGTTGGTTCCTCCAGGCGATTCTCTGTGGGATTAAGAAGGATAGAGAAATAGAAAATGGAGGGTCATTCCTTGATTTCTCTTTGCGTCAACCATTTCGGCAGCAACGGAGCAGCTGTTGCCATCGCCACGGCCTGCACCCATCCCTTAGGTTCTTTTCCTGTTCTGGCCTTCGTATTTGTGCTTCTTCTCTATGACATTCTTCTTCTCTGTGTTCATTGTTGCATGATTAAAGGGGCCGTTTGCTTGCCCAGAACTGAATGTAGAATACATGAATTTCCAGCAACTCGGGTATTCTATAGGTGGGATTGTAAGAATCCATGAATGTCAGAATTTGATGTTTGGTTTGCAAGAATTCTGAAGCAAGAGTAAAATGTACATGGCAGAAAATATGTCTTTGCCTTTGCCTTGAGTTTTTAATGGCCTTCTTTTCTGATTGGATTTTGTTTGACAGATGTGCTGAAAGTGCGGCTGCAAATGGAACTTGTAGGACAATCAGGTCCTTTAAGTGGAATGGTAGCTCAAACTCGTTTCTATACCTTCAATGAAAGTTTGTTTGCTTAAAACTTATCATGATTGAAGGTTTTACTTCACAATTTCAGGGACAAACTTTTCTCAAAATATTGAAAAATGAGGGACCAAAGGGACTGTACCTGGGGCTTACACCAGCTTTGACTAGGTCGGTTCTTTATGGAGGTCTTCGTCTAGGTCTTTATGAGCCGACGAAGTATGCAACTAATTTGGCTTTTGGATCCACCAACATCTTTGTCAAGATTGCATCTGGAGCTTTTTCTGGTGCACTTGCAACTGCGCTGACTAATCCTACTGAAGTTTTGAAGGTATGCTTCATTCCAGGTTTTTCACGGATTTCATGCTGGCATATTCCAAAAATTCATGAACTTCCTGCTGGATAGGTCCGATTGCAAATGAATGCCAACCCAGGGAATAGAGGTGTGATAGGAGAGATCCGCAAAATTATTTCGGAAGAGGGGACAAGAGCTCTTTGGAAGGGGGTAGGTCCTGGAATGGCTAGAGCTTCTGCTTTAACCGCGTCACAATTAGCCACGTATGATGAAACCAAACAGGTATAGCCATACTCTTTTTCACAGGACATTGCCTCATTCATTTTCGTATTTATCGGGTGGACTTTGCATTTGTGGCACTGAGCATTGCGATTTCTTCTTCTTCATTTTTAACTGCAGTGTCTTACTAGGAGGACAAATCTGGAAGAAGGGATATATCTACACTTAATGTATGATAATATCGACTGAAGCATGCCTTTGAACTGAAATCATTTTAGCATTAGCACCCTGGTGTTTCTTGTACTGATGTTATGTAGAAGTAACCCTGGTGTTTAACATCTCATGACTTTCATCACAGTTTATTCCTTCAAATATTCCTTCTCCTTCATTCCATACTAAACTTAACTTCTTTGTATTTTGAAGCTCAAGTACAGTTGCGGGTGGAGTGAGTACTCTTATTACTGCCCCAATAGACACCATCAAAACACGTCTTATGCTTCAACGAGAATCAGATTCAGTTGGTAGCTATAGAAATGCATTCCACTGCGCACATCAGGTATCAGCTTTATACTTATTTTCGCATTTTCCCCTGATAAGTACCGTTTTCTGTAGCTACCTTCATTATAAGGTTAATAGTTGTCCAGTAAAAGGGATGACTCTATCTTGCTTTTTCATTAGTAAAGGTCTCAATAGATTGCTTCATTCTATTATATCATATACCAGAATGATATTTGTCGTAGAATTCCAGATTTCTTTATCAATGATGAATTGACCTGAGTGAGAAGATATTGTTTCTCAATGTTGGTCTTTACCGCCTTTTCAATTTACATAGCTCAAAGTTCAGTATGATTTTGTCAAACCGTCACAGAGTTCCCCCAATGTTACCTCGATTGTCTTGCATCCTGGAATGGGATAAGTAGCATGCATTGCTTCCTTATCTAATTAGCTCTTGTTACATGGTTCAGATCTTCCGTACAGAAGGCCCTCGGGGACTCTACAAGGGGTTAGAATCCTGTCGAAACCTTTCTACATTTTTTACTTTGAACAAGTCTTATGCTTTGGTATGCACAAAATACAGTGCTTGATATTGACATCTGATGGTATTTTCTTGCTTCAGAGGCTTTACTGTGTTTGCAAGATTGGGTCCCCAAACAACAATTACATTCATTCTATGCGAGAAACTGCGGAAGCTAGCTGGGCTGAGTGCAATCTAGTTAACCAAGAATGCCAGTCTGTGTAACCCGTAGAGACAACATTATTTTGTGCACCACCAATTCTTGAGATTTTCGTCTTATTTTGGGTGACTGCAGATGAAGTAACGATTAATCAAGTCTTCACAGCCTTTCTTGTGAAGACCGTCTCACAAAATACTTTCTCCTTCACTTACTACAGTCTAGATTAGTACATTTTATATAGTTGAGATGGTTTGAAGCAGGAGAGTGTGGTTACCGAGCTTCAAGTTCTGTCCATATTGTTTCGTCTTCAGGGCAAGCTTGGATATCATTCTTTGACATTCTCTTCATCATGATATCATCCTTTCTAGGGAAAACAGGCCTTGATGGAATCGCCAAAGCTGCAGCGTCATTTCTGAGCATGAAAGCAACATCGGACATTGAAGGCCTGTCCTCCGGATTTCCCTGGACGCAGAGCAGAGAAATTTGCAGGCAAGTCATCAATTTACATGAACTTCTTGAGTCATCCAATGAAGAATCCATTTGTTCCATTCCTCTCCCATCTTTCCACATCTCATAAGCCTGTGAATTGAGGAATGCAGTCAAGAGGGTGAGCTCATACTCAGAAAAACAGTTTATATGTCGATAAAATATTCTTTTTTGCACATGAAATTTGAATATAAAGAACGTAGGGAACATAGAAGCACTTATCGAACAATATAGATGTCGTTGTTTTTTGTTGTTCTTTACATGTACCTACAGATTCCTAATCATAGCAATATCCTATTTCAAGTTCTGTACAGACTGCGGAATAATTTCAGGATTGCTTCATTCTCGTATTTCTTTCTAATAGTAACTTACGTAATCCAAGAGGTTCAGTTTCTTTTGTTCGCCACTTATGATTTGTAAGAGAAGGACCCCAAAGCTGAACACATCCGATTTCGCTGAGTAAACCCCTTCATTCAGATATTCAGGAGGAGCATAACCTCTGTAAGTCAAGCAAGGAGATTCTGAAATCAGCAGGGAAAACTATACACAAGTTATGTCTCTTAGACAATGGCTACTCAATTGACTTACATCGTTGCAAAAACCCGCTCGGTGTTAGCTTCTTCTGCACCTCTGACGAAAATTCTGGCCAAACCGAAATCTGAAATCCTGGGATTCATATCAGAATCAAGAAGAATGTTGCTGGGTTTCAAGTCACGATGGATAACAGTTAGCCTGGAGTACTTCTGGAGATAAAGAAGGCCTTGAGTCACCCCTTCTATGATCTCCACTCTTTTCCTCCAGTTCAATTGTAGTCTCTTGACAGAATCTAAGTGGGGAAGTTTTACAGTGAAGGTATAAGTTTTTAGAGAGTTAAAGGGAAATAAGAAAGTGAGGCTACAAAAGTGCTCGAAGTTACATACCAAACAGATACTTGTCCAAGCTATTGTTGGGCATGAACTCATAGACCAACATATGCTCTTCCTCGTCAATGCAGAATCCGAGAAGCCTGACGAGGTTTACATGTTGGAGTTTCGCTGTAAGCAAAACCTCGTTCTCGAATTCTGCGTAACCTTGGGTCGATGAGTTTGATAGCTTCTTCACTGCTACTTCTTCTCCTCCTGGTAGCAACCCCTGCCAAAAACCAAAGTTAACAGGCTGTTATTAGTTCTTACCTACCTCCTTAGAAAGACTCTCACAATCCGTAGTAGTTAGTACCTTATAAACAGGGCCATAGCCACCTTGTCCAAGCTTGTTTTCACTCGCAAACCCATCTGTGGCTCTCTCCATTTCTGATAAGCTGTATCTCGTCAACCCAATATTCCTGGCATCAAATTCTCCAGGAGGTATTGTTTCATTATCATCCAACTTGGATTCTAAAGCCTCCGTTCTATCACCTACCAGCCACCAGGGATCACACCAACAACAGAACATACCGTTTAAATAGTTCACTTGTTCAACAACCAAGAAAAATGATGGAGCATTGCCCGAAAGAGGAGCCAACTATTACCTTTGGATCGGGACCTCTTCTTTCTAACGAAACAAAACACAAGGATCCCAATGGCCAGTGCTCCAGTAGCTGCAACTACAATGGTTATGACTAACCATAGCTTTCTCTGGCGTTTACCCGGTTTTGCTGGAGCTGTTGCATCAAATGCTGAAGAAAAGAATCTCTCCTTTCAGTTCTTTGTTTCCAGAAAGCTCAAACAAACATATTAGAACAGCAGAAGCAGAAGTATCAAGCTACTATACCAGCTCTAGAAAGTGCCCAGTTGTCATCATAAGGAATCTGCCAGGCGAAATAACCCAGAAACCCCTTGTCCATGGCGTAAGAAACCTTTGCTCCGACAGCCTCAACGTCCTCAAAACCGATCCATGTCGACCCAAATGAGCAGTAGTTCGTCGTATAAACAGCACTATACGAAATTTTGACCCCGTACCTCCTTACGTACTTCATGATATCGGAATACCACACCAACCCATTCGAGCTTAACGCCGCGCCTCTTGCTGCCGCTCCGATTCCATTGTTGTTTGGGTCCACGAGCGTCCAAGCGTATCCAGAGAAGGGCAACCCGAGCACAAACCTGCTGAGGGAGAACCCTCTACTCCTCCATTCCTCAACGTCGGAATCCAGCCCGGCTCCTCCATTCGGGTCCCGCAACGGGTAATGGGCAGCCGTCTTCGACTGGTTCAAGCTCGGAACAGCGTACTCGCTCAACACGAGATGAACCCAGTCCAGGTTCTTGTTTATAGAGCCCAGAACCGATCCGTTGGTAGCTAGAAGGGACGAGAATCGAGCGGCGGCCGTCAAAACTAGCTGGGAGGAGGCGCCCGACTCGGCGAGAATCGCAGCGCGCCATTCGTCGAACAGTTGGGCGGCATCGCCCATTTCCTCTGGCGAGGGCAAGCAGGACAGGTCCAAGCCGTCGAACCCGTACCTCCTAGCGAAATCGATCGACGAATCGATGAGGGACTTCCGACGAGAGGGATCCCCCGCCGTCGACGAGAAGTCGGCGGAGCCGGTTGCATCGCAGCGGATCGACAGCAGCGTGGAGATGGATGGGTCCTTGACCTTGACCGTTGCCGTGAAGTTGTACACGAATTGCGCCTCCTCTGGCAAGATGAAGATCTCGTAGGAGGTGGAATTGATGGCGGCGGAGCGGCTGACGAGGTGAGTGAAGAGAGAATAATCGATTTCGGAAACTGGGGAGTCGCCGCTTCTGTCGGCGGCCCAGTAGCCGATTCTGAGCCAGGTTCCCGCCGTCGAGCACGGCTGGAATTCGCGAGCTAGGAACATGAAGAAGAACAGCGGGAAGACGGCCATGGTGCGGGGCGTCTTGCTGCGTTGTACAAGCTCGTCGTCTCTGAATCAATGGAAGAACAAGCTCCATCGCTAAAATTTCTCGGTACGTTCTTCCAACCTCTCAAACTTTCAACATCAGTTGTATCGATCCCGTGGCGGGAACGCAGAGTTTGGCTGCTCTTTTGGAGCTTTGGTTCGTTCGTTGTTTTATGCGTAAATTTCTATTAACATCCTCCAATTCTTTTGAATTTACAACTCAGCACATTTACATTTTACGCATTGTACATTTTCATTTGCTATAAACATTCTGGACATCATCATGGTCTAGCCTCTAGCTCAGTAACTGTGAGCTGATTCGTCGAATAATCACGAGAACTAGCCAATCGCTCGTTACTCGCTATGTCGGTGAAGAATCTCACGTCCTTGATCCCGACGTTCTTATTCGTTATTGCACTGGTACTGCTGCTGCTACTGCTGCTGCTGTAGAGGTCTCTGAGCATCGTAGAAACCTCCTGCATGCTCGGCCTGTCCCTCGGCTTCCTCTGGATGCAGAGCAAAGCTATCCTCAAGCAGTTCACCAGCTTGCAAGGAGAATTCGAGTCGTCCAACGAAGGATCCATGATCTCCATCCCTCTACCCTCTTTCCACATCTCATATGCCTATCCACCAGCAAACAAACAAATGGAAGTTACAGAACTGTCTCCAGCATCTTAAGTTACCCTTTAATGGTGCAATTAGAAAGAGTGATTTGGATCCTACGAAGACATGAAGCTCTAGATCTCCATGAGGGCCATAGCGGGTAACACATCTCTTGCCGCTTATGATCTGCAGAAGAAGGATCCCAAAGCTGTAAACGTCGGATTTCTTGGAGTAGACACCTTTCTCCAGATACTCTGGAGGGCAATAAGCTCTGTAAATTAGCATAGCCATTAGTTTCTGCAACATATAGAAATGACAGCATAATGCAAAACTAGCCTGCTGCTAATCATACAAAATCTCAAAACTTAACATTACCTTGTGCCAGCAAAACGTTCAGTGTTGGCTTCTGATGAATCTCTCTTCAAAATCCTAGCCATCCCGAAATCCGAAATCTTGGCCTTCATCTCAGAATCCAACAGAATGTTGCCCGGTTTGAGATCACGATGAATGATCGATTGCCCGGAATATTCTTGGAGGTACAAAAGTCCTTGAGTGACTCCTTCAATGATTTCCGCTCTTGTGGCCCAATCCAAAACCAAGCTCCTCACTGGATCTGATATATATGAAGATGTAACCTAAATCATTAATTAGTCTGGAAAAAAACCCAAAATCTTTAAATGAGTTCATCATCCAACAACCACTGAGCTTAATTGCTAATTAGTGACACTAACCGAAAAGGTATTGATCCAAACTGTTGCCGGGTAAATACTCATAGACCAACATCCGCTCTCCTTCGTCGATACAGTACCCTAAAACCCTGACTAGGTTCACGTGTTGTAGTTGTGCCGTGAGTATCACTTCGTTTTTGAACTCCTCGTCTCCCTGGCTCGAGTTTCTCGACAACTTCTTCACCGCTATCTCCACTCCATCGGCCAACACCCCCTGCTTGTATAGATGTTGAAGTATAAATGAAATCACACTCTAATACTCATATATAAACACAATGTATGGTGGGTTGTTTGTGCCAGCTTCAAGCTCAATGGGCCACTTTCACTTGAGAGGAACGTATAAATAATACTATATCGATTTTCGAACTTCCTTAGCAATTCAAATCGTTAATAGTAATGAAACAAGTCTTAAAACAATGTACGGCGCACCTTGTAAACAGGGCCATATCCACCTTGTCCAAGCTTGTTTAGAATGGAGAAATCATTGGTCGCTTTCTCAAGTTGTGAGAAGCTATATGGCACCACCACCATTCTAGGGTTCTTCTCCTCGATCTCGCCTGCAAAAAGTGACGCCGCATCCCTCTCTCCCTTTCCTCCTGTATGTAAGAGAGTGATATAAGTTCATAATTAATCTTCTTCTTGTCGCAATAATTTGAGTAAATGGGACCAAATAGTTTATGGCAATGATACCAGAGATGGTTTGACCAAGTGATCGTGTGTTTGAATATCTACAACTCTAATACTAACAGTTGATAAAACACAAGGTATAATAAACATTACTTGTTGATGATCTTATCGAACTTCCCGAACGACGACGTCTTTGTCGCAGGTAGAACAATACCATTATCCCAGCGCCAATTAATAGTCCGAGCAAAATAGGTAAGATTATATACAATAGAATTTGTCGTTGCTTCTTTGGTTTCATATTCTTCTTTTCCCCTTGAGTTACAGCTATCCGAGTAGTAGAAGCTGTAGCATGCGAAAATCAAACGAATAAGATAAAATGTATTCACATACACGCCGTAAATAGTCACAATGACTCGAATTGTGATTGTGCCCCTAATTAGTCTCTGTAATTTAACATTTACGATCTATAAGATTTTTCAAACATTAGATTTTGCACTAGGCAGTAAAAATATTTTACTGAGTTTACTATACCTGCAACGTGGGAGAGCGTCCCATTGTCATCGTAGGGTATCTGCCACATGGCATATCCCCGCAACCCCATTCGTCTAGCGTAGTCAACCTTGGCCCTCACGGCATCCACGTCATCGTACCCGATCCACGTGGACCCAACTGAGCAGTAATTCACCACGTAGCTCTCGTTGTAGTAAACCCGCGCCCGGTTCGCCTCCACAAACCGCCTGATATCCGCGTACCGGTAGAACCCGTTCCCGGTGATCGCCGGCCCTTCCGCCGGCGACCCAACTCCGACGACCTCACTCCCCGCCGCGTCTCGTCGAACCGTCCACGCGTAGCCATACGCGGCCAAACAAAGGACCATCTTGCTCGCCGGAAGTCCCTTCCCTATCCACTCCTTGACCCCGGAATCCGTCCCGCCGGCCGGGTCGTAGAGGGCAGCGTGACCCGCCGTGAAGTTGTCTGATTTGGGCGTATGGTACTCGCCTGCTCTCAGATGCACCCAATCCAGGCTCCGGTTCGCCGACACCACGGGAATCGGCCAAAACGACAGCGTAGCTGTCAAGAGCAGAGTATCGTTCCTCGTTCTTTCAGTCGAGCTACTTCGTTTCTCTTGCCGTCCAATTGCAGCCCGCCACTCGTCGAAAAGGTCCCCGATGTTCGCCACCGACCGGCGATTGCCGGGGCACGACCACGCGAAATCGAGCCCCTGGAACCCGAGCTGGCGAGCTGTATCGATGGAGGAGTTGATGAAAAATCCCCGCGAAGTAGAATTCTTCAGCATAGAAGAGAAAATGTCGAAATTGGTGGCGTTGCATCGGATAGAAAGGAGGGTCGTGATCGATGGGTTCTTCGATCGGACGGCGGAGGTGAAGTTGTGAAACGACGGCGCGTCGGAAGGAGGAATCGTGAGCTGAAACGACGAAGGGTCGACGGTGGAGAAGCCGCAGATGAGGTGGGTGAATGAGGAAGTGTCGATGCTGGATACGGGGAAGCCTCGGTCCGACGACCAGTATCCGGCCTGAATCCATGGATTCTTCGCCGCCGACGATAGAATGAGTTGACAGTAGACGGATAGAAGGAAGCTGAGCAGTGGTTTGATACTGAAATCCATGGAGGGTTTTTTCGTGATTAGCTTAGTGGGAGGAGAGCATTTAACATACTGATCTTGGTACCAATTGGGATGAAGAACGGGTAGTCGAGCTTGGCCATGGCCGGTCAACTAATCCACTATGGTTAAACGGGATTAACATGCGATTATAAGTCTAATTAATTAAAAGTTGTAATTTGGCTTTTAGTGTTGAAACTAGATGTGATTAATATGATTTGTTTTTCTTAATTTGGTCTTAACATGCTTTGTTAGGATCGCCGATTGAAAGAGCTAATTGCAGTGTCGGCATTTGAATGTGTCATCTATATATTTAAATCTGTTCTATCGTTTAGCAGAAGGCAACCGTGTTGGCCTGCAGCTTTGGCGTCGAATCTTTACTCATTCGGCACTGCCAACTTTGAACGAGTAATAGCCCATGACTGCCCATCTGTATATCAATTAATAAATTGCGGTTTATCGAAAAAGTCCGTAATGAAATATTTTGTATTTAAACCGTAATTTCTGTTCCATACAAGTAAAATTGTCTATCGACTTAGACTAAGGTTTTTCGATTGAACCACCGGTACAATATGGTTTTGCAAACACCGCCTATTACGCTACTGTCAAATTGGCTTGGGGAGGAAAGAAAATGGGAGATATGCGTCTTTCAAGTTTCAAATCAAAGATGGCAATCTAAGCTGATTCTTTCCTAACAAAGTCTCTAGATAGAAGGCAACAGAACATCCAAGCAAAAGTAGACAATGCAGCAGTAGACAAAATTTTGTGATACATGCCTGAAGAATTTACTTTCAGTGTCTTGCAATCCTTAGGTGAAATGCACTTAAAACATACAAGCAAAAGAAGCCATGAAACTCTACCAACAAACAAAAGAACAAAACAAAAGGACACCTTGAAACTAATTCATCTTACTGATCAAGTCGTTAATCTTATCTTCGCGATTTCCAGAGTCACCGCCATCCTTGAACAGCGCTTTCTTGCCTTGCAGCCCATCTTTCGGCTTGTTGAGAGAAAATGGTCCCAGGAAGCTATTGATCTCCTTGAAGTGTGGTCCAATGGTTGTGATCTCGTGAACGAGATCTTCCAGGCATAGAATACCGTATTCGCCTAATGCCTGTCAACAGAGGGTGTTGCTGTTAAGAGCCGATTGAAAAGTGTCATGCAGCTGAAGGTTTCAAAGGTTTTTTTTTTTTTGGGAATACCTGTTCAATGATATTGTTGTCTATCAAGGCAACTCTCTGGTTGTCCTTCTTTCCATGACCCTTCTTGTATATCAGATCAGTGACAGTTTTAACACTTGGATACCTTTATAAAGGAATGAAACACTTGGATGACCAACAGATAGAGAGATCGATTGAGAAAGCAAACAGGCGTGAAGGATAAGATAGAAAGACTAGCAGCAGCTGAAAACTTCTTTGCCCAACACAAGAAATGTAAGACTTTCAAGCATGTGATATAGTTCTCAAATCCTAAGCAGAGCAAGAAAATATCCCATTCGAAGCAAGCATAGAAGGGTGAAGTCCTCTTACCCATATGTGATGTACGGCTCCACCCTTTTTAACATCTCTAACACTCCTTCACTCGCCCTCATGAACGCACCATCAAAGACTTTGCTCAGCTTTAGCTTGTAAAGGATCTTCCTAACTTTCGGGTGCATGTCGTTCTTTCTGAAATCACATTTACAACACATTAGAAATCCGCAAATGAAAGCCCAAAGCAACACTCAAGAAAACTCATCTGAATCCATTCGACGACAACATACCCTTGTATCCGCACCACAAACAAAAGCTTCGACTTGGGCACTGCTGATCTCGTTGTCTTTGGCCTCTTAGTCCTCTGCTTCATCCGTATGAGATCCAATTCCTACACAGAATTTCCATCATTTTTCATTCCAATGCTAATTCATTCCGTTCAATCCAAAATGGACTTCAATGCATCAAAAGGGAAACACAGATTTCCTCCTTGAGAGAAACAAAGCAACAGCTCTTGGCTTACCCTGTCTCTGTACTCCTTGACAAAGTGCTCCGGCCTCTTGATATCGTGAACTCTCCTCTTCTTCTCAGCACGAGCCCCCAACTCCAGCTGATTCTTCCTCGTGAGCGCTATGGATTCCTCCTTGTGCTTCCTCTTCTTCAGAACAATCTCTGGTACGTAAGCAAGTGGCTTCTGCTCCTCTTCCGCCATTGCCATCACGCAGCAAATACTCTTTCGCTTCCTTACACCTATAGTCCAAACAAATAACGAAATGAAACCCTCGAATCATTAGCTGGTTCTCCTCCCTCTGTATCAATCTCACTGAAGCTAATTACTAATCGGTAGAAATTCTCGAGGTGCGAAGAATCCAAGTTCTGTTTGGCTTCCCAATTGAAGACAACGAAAAAGACGACGAACAAGGAGATGGTGATTACCTGTGGAATCGAAGCTTTTCCGGCGGCGGGAGTCGGTGGAGAGAGGGAGAGGGAGAAGGTTTTCGCTTTTTTCGGCTTCGAATCCTTCCCTAAACCCTCGGGAAGGTGATGGCAGTTGGAGTTCGATAGAGAATCAACTGGGCATGCTCGATAGAGAGGGCTTTCTTGCTTGGGCCTCAAGCCCAATTCATCAAACCCCACGTCGACAGGAAGGTAAAATTGCTCCAGGATCTCCAGCCCATATAGAATATTAGTTCATTATTCAAGAAATTAAATTTGAGACAATTTTTTTTCTAGAAATACCACTAAAAAGAACAAAAATACCACCCGTTTTCAAAATTTTCAAAAAATACCACCATTTTTCGAGAACCGTATGGGTGGGTGTGATTTTGGTGACCGCATGGGGTAGGAGCGGTTTGGTAAAAAGAAAAAAATATTCGATCAATCCTAACGTAGTTGGAAACTTCAAACGAACGTATTTGTGTGCTCTAGTACCCGATCGTCGTGATTTTTTTTCGCATAACTTTTCGAGATCTTGCAAGCCGCAAATGACCGTAGGCGGTTTCGTCCTGCAAAAACGTCGTATGCTACGTTTGACGAGCTTTTTCCCGGTTTCGTCAAACTTTGGACGGTCATATCATTGTGCTCCGTACTCTGAACGTCATGAATTTTTTTTATTTCGCATAAATTTTGAAGGACTACAACTTTTAGAAGGAATAAATTTTCAAAACAGAAAATATTTTTGGATATAAGGGATTTACCTTCACTTTTCACATATCCACGTACATCCCAAAATTATGGCTATGATAAAATTGTAGTCCTCCAAAAATTATTCGAAAAAAAATTCATGACGTTCGGAGTGCGAGCACAAAGTTATGACCGCCCAAATTTGGACAAAATCGGAAAAAAACTCATTCAGGGTAGCAAGCGACATTTTTCCAGGACGAAACTGCCTACAACTGTTTGCGACTTGTAAGATCTCGAAAAGTTATGCGGAATAAAAAAAAAATTCGCTACGATCGGATACTCGAGCACAAAGATACATTGGCTTGAAGTTTGCACCTAGATTAGGATTGATCAAATTTTTTTTTTTTACCAAACCGCCCGACCCCATGTGGTCCCCAAAACTGCCCCACCCATGTGGTTTACATCGAAAATTGTGCCCCCACCAGGCGGTTTTGAGCAATGGTGGTATTTTTGAAAAATATTGAAAATGAGTGATTTTTTTGATTTTTTTTTCTTTTTAGTAGTATTTCTGGAAAAAATCCTCATATTCTCAGTTAGATCTTGGAGCCAACAACTAATGAAAATAAAAATATTGAAAAATATGATCAGAAAATTGTTGGGTTAACAAATTTGCTAGCTTTTACCAATGGTAGGATGAATTTCATTTTATATGTTAACCAATTCATTCATAATTTTCAGTGATTTGGAATCTTCTAAATAATAGTCATGTTTTGAAAGTTATTTTTGTGCTACTTGTTGATTATAACATTAATGATAAATAGTTCATAATTAATTTGTTGATTAAGTTATTCTAGCTTATTATTGTAGTTTTTTCATATTTTTGAAAAAAAAATATGTAGTTATTTCTTGATAGATTGCTTGAAATACACTTCTTCATAAGATTAGTAGGAATCATTAACGTTTTTTTTTCTATTAGCTCCAAATGAACTATGATGTTATGCACCAAGGTAGTAATTTTTTTTTCTTTTTTCCAAGAAATGTCAATAGAGAGAACTATATAATCTATCCGAAAACCTCCCAACCTATTACATTAATGAAGTCACCCAACGAAGTCGAAGAAACATAACTCAAGAGAAGAAAGTAACAGGGCTTTCTGCGCCACTTTATGGGCAACCCCGTTAGCAGTCCGAGGAACTGCCCTAAACTCTAAGGATACAGAGACAGAAGAAAGGAGAAGGAAGCAATCCCGAAGGTAGTAATTAGAAACTCTAAAATGTTGTTAAAAGAGAAAATTCACCACGTAAATGAGCTCAGACTTTATTGTCAATGATGAACCTAAAAAGTAATAGTTGAGAAAGTATATACATTATGAAATGCAAATTGATAATTAATATATATCTCCAAAATCATTTGTGTGTAACCATTAGTCCATTACCAAGTTATCAAAATACAAATTCCTCCATCAAAGAGTACTTCTGCAAGCACAATTTCACCTCAGTCTTTGTACAAAAACACGATCATTCTACTCTATACAGTCATACTCGTCCATGACCTCAGAGTGAGCAACAAGATGAAAGACCACTTAAAAGGAGAACCTAGCCACCTCCTCATCTTCATCCTCGTCAATGCCATCAGCCTCCTCATCGTACTCCTCGTCGCTAAACGTCTCCAGTTCTTCCTCCTCCTCTTCTTCATCATCTTCCATTCCAACCATTGAACTGCCAGACTTGTCCTTCAAACCGGTAGTCAGGACCACAGTCTCGCCTCTTGTTTTCTGCATGTCCTTCCTCAGTTTCTCCATGTTCCCCCTTCGCCGTTCTTCCTCCAGGCGCTCCTTCTCTGCCCGCCTCTTATCGAGATCAGCCCTAAAGCAACAATGTTCAAAGGTTAAAAACAAAGCAGAAATAAGAAGGCAACAGCAAAGTGTTTTATCAGTCAAAAGCTTAAGGCGAAAGATTACTTGTAAGTCTCCATGTACTCCTCAGCACTGGATTCAATGGCCTTGAAGAAGGCGTCCATCCCAGCACCAGAAACAGCAGAAACCCCGACTGATTTCAGGTTCTTGTAGAACTCATCAAGGACTAGGGCAAGGCTTCCGGTCAATGTAGAAGAGTAAGAATGATCTGAGCTTAGTGCTGCTTGAAAGGCATCAAAATCTTCCATCCACTGCATTTATGGTCGTCGAGTAAAGAGAGATTCAGAATGGATGAAATCACATTTGGGATCCAATTCAACAATGAAGTCTATCTATACCCATGATTATTCAGAGATGTATCATACCTCTAAAGCAAATTCGTGCTGAGACACGTCATTCTTGTTGAATGCCAATACAAGAGGCAACCGAGTCTTATAGAGTATGCTGCAGGCATAAAGCATATTACTCATGAAAGTAATAGGGCTTGTTGCTCGAGGTGTGTCAACTACATAAGCAATCACAGTGGGAAACGTAGAAGCAAAAGCTTCTGTGATGATCGCCCCGGAAGCTGACCAAGTAAAGATCTCAATCTGTCCAGGTGTATCCACCAGGACATAATCAAGCTGATCTGCTCTCTTCTCTATCATAGAAACAACCTGAAAATTGGAGCATGCACTGGAACTCTTAGACTCTTTCAGAGATACATAATGACGAGATGAGACTATAGGCAAGTGATCAAACACAAGGAACCAGTGATTTGTACAGGCGGACACCGAAAAGATCATAGCTTTACACCAACAATGCAACAGTTTCTTAACATTTACCTCATCAAACTTAGTGGCGAACAGATTGAGCGATGTTAGAATGCCACCATTCGGCCCCAGATTGAACTGCTTCATCACTTCCTTGTACTTAACAGTATCCCTAATATCGATATTTGCACCGTACGGGAGAGTCATCACAGCAGGGTCGAGATTCAAGACGTAACCCCGAATGTTTGAAGCTTGAGTATGGGCAACCAATCTATGAAGCAAAGTCGTTTTGCCACTACCTTCACAACCATGAACAACAGGGCAACAATTCTTAAACCAGCACTCAAAGTTTCTTGGTCCAGTTTCCAGTTCAATGACACCCACACAACAAGGAGACAGATAATTTACCTGCCATTCCTATGACAATGATCACCACAGGCTTCTTCTTGAAATTTGACGAAGAAGACCCAGCATCAATCTTCAGATTGTCCATTGATTGTGCCAGCTCTTCTTTGCCTTTTCCCCCAATACCCTAAAACCACATCATTTCGAACAGCAGTCAATGAACAGAGACCAAACCAAAACTTCTTCAATTACACCTAATTCACCAACTCTTCACTCGTCTCTACAGTAATAGTGCAAGAACCACAGCACAAACGAAGCAGAAAATAAGTGAAGTTCCAGTCCTCCGCCGGTCGGAATACCTTGGCGTCCACCTCCATCGACGAATCGTTATCAGAGGGTTTCGCGTCGACGTCCATTGTTGAGCTCTCTAGTACGGCTTCGGAGATGAGGAACTCGCCAACCCAGAAACGAAGAAGAAGAGAAGAAAAGAACAGCTGCGAGAGACGACGGCGAACCGATGTGGCGGCGACTTCTGGAAGGGTTCTTGCTTGCAGGCTGAATGAATAAAATGTGGGAGTTGAAAGCAAGTCCGTAAATATAAATGAAAACGGGGACCAGAATGTGCGTTTCAAAAATTAAGTGACTAAAAAGTGGAAAGGTGAAATTTAGATAAAACAGGCGCCAAACTTTGCATTCTACCAAAAACAGTCTATGTTTTCTTTTCCCCCTGCCGCTGCGATTTAGAAGTTGTTTTTTGCCGCTGCCGCCGCCGGATTTTCCACCGCCGCTCCGTCTCAACCGCTACTATCAACTTAATTCCGAGGAGAAATCAAGGCCCCTTCCGGTTGACGGGTGAACTTTGAGATTTGTTGAAGTTTGCATGGAATCGGAAGAGGTAAAACAACTGCCACTGAGTCATTTTGTCGAACACCTTGTATGCATGTTTCCTGCCTATCAGCAGGGATTTTGGGAATTTTTGTTTTTTGGGTCTGCTTCTTTGAGTCAAGATGAAACTTGGTTGTGTGAATCAGTAAAGGGAGACATGGAAGGGTGGGAGTGGGAAGGTGCTTCAGGAGAATTGAGCGACGAGGAGATTTGCTTGGAAGACAACGATGACAACGAAGAACTTCTGAACCTCAGTGGTCATTCAAAGAAGCTTCAGTTCAGGTAACGAAAATTTCTCCCGGTCATCATCATCTGATTTTGGAAAATAGTCATTCTGAAGCTTTACACCCTGCTCGAAAATGGTGTGTCCAGGAGTGATACTTCGAAGGCCATATGGAACGAGGAGTTAGGAATGGCTGAGGTGATAGTAAAGAGAGGCAAAATGTGGATTACAGTGGGTATTGTGCGAGGTGGCAAGACATATTGCTCAATTGAGGAGACTATGTAATAAAGTTCAAAGCTTTTTGCTCTAACTAATCTACCATTTGGATGATCCTATTTCGATTAAATTGAACCCGTGGTGTTGTTTTCACTGCAGATTTTTGGCTGAGGTTGGGGCATTACATCTCATGGACACTACCAATGTACAATTCTCCTTGCAACACATGTACGAGAAGATTGCAGAAGAGAAGAATGGTTGCGGCTGGGAGCTTTTTGAGGTTTATAGGCACTTGAAGTCTCTTGGTTACATCGTTGGCCGCCATGGTGTTCCTTGGACCATGAAGGGTGTAAAGAGCGAGAGCAACTCCAGCTCTTCTCAAGCCACTCTAGACCACAACAACAGCAACAATGCAGTTGTGGATGGCGAATCGAAAGATGTAGGCTCGATCACTGAATCGCTTGGTAATTTGCAGATTGATGGGATGAAACCCGCCTTCGATGTTTACCTTCCAAACAGCAAGTTCAGGAAGTCTTCACCTGGTCAACCCAACTTCCTCCTCTGCTTAATCAGGTTACTTCCAGCTTTCATCAACGGTGGTCTTGACTCTTGACTGCTACATCCTGATTTCTCACTTCAATGCATTACATGTTCTCTCAGGGACAACATGCCGCCGTCTAGAGTGAAGATCGAAGCGCTGGAGAGTCTGTGTGGTGGGATTCCTGTGAAGTTCTGCCATGTAGAGCATGGCCGCGTCAGCTTTTTCAGCATGAAGAACGCTGAGCTTCCAGTACTTCCTTGAATCCGTACCTGCGTTGAAGCTTTTAGACTGAACTGTAAGTTCACACCCAAACCTTAGAAATTTGTGTAGTGAGTATTGACTTTTACAATAGTCCTTTCGGATTTTGTTGGTTTTTCTTGTCGTGGAAGATATTAAATTATATGCGAAGGATCCTTTCCCGCCGCCATGGATGACTAGTACACTAATCTATATGTCTAATTGCCTTCCCTGTTGTAATGAATGAAACTTCAGCTATAACAAAAGACTTGCAGAAATGGTTTCAAGACATTTTTTTACCAGAATCTTTCACCTATACTTCCGTTTCCAAATTTCCAATTCAACTGGACCAGAAACTCCAAGACTCTTCATGGCTATGAACACTTCCTAGTCTGGTCCAATTTTGAATGTGGTTCTCAACTTCATCGTTGCCCTTCTGTCGAGTGAATCTGGCTAGCTATTACTCCAACGTTGGGGGGATCAGCGCGTACTGGCCCTGTTTAAATCGCCCAGGACATGCCCAGCAGGTTGAATCGACGTGCTGATCACCCCGACGACACTAGTATGCTAGCTCATATGCCTGTCAGGTTGATGTCATATAGGTATACCATTACTAAGACTTTTCCAGTCTCCTTCGAGTTCACTTCAGAGTTAAAACGTGTTTCCGCAAATTTGCCTGATGTGTGTGTACAAAAATGGCAAGTCAGCAAGTCATCGTCGCCAAATTTCCATTGCCGGATTCTATACGTCTCTCTCTGCTGGAAACCACGTAGAAGTATCTCTCAGGACTTTCTGCTATTTCACCCAACATTTCAACCTTTTCCAGAAAAAGAAAAAAAAAAAGACCTCTCATTTTCACACATTGATCATGTTTAGTCATCTCAAACTTTCTAGTTTATTCAGAAGAAGAAAAGAAGTAAAAATGGCAGCACAAGAACACTTCCCGCCATAAACTAGAGCTTCCATCCATGGCAGCTAGGAAGCCTTTTACACTCATGCATCTCTGTTTCATAATCTTCTGCTTCTGCATCATTTCGATCTTTCAGTTTCACGGCTCGACGGCACAGCAACAGCCGAGAATCAAAGCAGCGTACTGGTACTCCGGCAGCGGCTATCCAGTCGCCGAAATAGACTCATCTCTCTTCACCCACCTCGTCTGCGGATTCGCCACCGTCAACTCCTCCACCTTCCAGCTCTCCACCTTACCGTCCGACTCCATGTCCTTCACCGCCATCGTCCGCCGCCGCAACCCCGCCGTCACGACCCTCCTCTCCGTCTGGAACGGCGAGCAACAGACCGCCCGAGCCATCGCCGGAGAAAACGTCGCCGCCGCCGACTCCCTCCTCTCCGCCGTGGCTTCCACCCCTTCCCGCCGGAATTCCTTCATCGAGTCCACCATTCGAGCCGCCAGAATCCATGGATTTCAAGGAATTGACCTGAACTGGGTCTGGCCCAATGCCACCGACGCGGCGGCGATCGAACCCTTACTGGATGAATTCAAATCCGCCATCGATTCTGAATCGGAAAAGTCAAACAATTCGAAGCTCACCCTGACCATGGTTGTTCGTCGCTCCCCGAATTTTGGATCCCTCAGCTACCCAGTTCAATCCATGGCCAGGAATTTGGATTGGGCGCATCTCTTAGCATTCGATTACCACCTACCGACCAGAGAAAATTTCACGGCGAACCACGCCGCCTTGTTCAACCCATCCGGTGATCGAAATGACTCAACAGATGCCGGAGTGAGGGAGTGGATTCGGGTCGGGTTTCCGGCGACCAAACTGGTTCTGGGATTGGCGTACCATGGCTACGGCTGGAAGTTGGCGAATCCGGGGGATAACTATCTGGGAGCTCCGGCGACGGGACCAGCTGTGACGATCGCCGGCGATATGGGGTACAAGCATATCAAGTCTTTTATTCAGAACTATGGATTTGGAGCTAGAGCGACGTATAACTCAACTTACGTTGTGAATTACTTCGTCGTGGGTTCGAATTGGATCAATTTCGATGGGGTGGAAGCAATCGGAGCGAAAGTTTCTTACGCCGTGGAAATGGGACTCGCTGGTTTTATTGCCTTCCAGCTTAGCAATGACGATAATTGGGAGCTCTCTCGTGCAGGTAACCCATTGATGCTTACCTTTTTCATCCTGGTCTTTGTTAGGGATTTTCTAATTGCATGGATTTCATACTTTTTCAGCTCAGTTGACGGACATGGAAGGAAGTCAAAACAGGCGGCAGCTGCTGCTGAAAGTCTTGCTCCCAATTGCGGCGGCCATCACTCTATCCGCCATTGTTCTTTGGTACGCTCGAAAAAGAGTATTGAAGAAGCAGAAATGTAAAGAAAACCCCTCATTTCTCCCCTGCTTAAAACTTTCTGAAAGTGCCCTCAGAGAACCTTCAAAAGTTTGATCCTTTGTTTCTTCTGCTACTGCAGGGTCCATGTTCCATGGCTTCACCAGAAGCTACAACAACAGTCCAGGTCAAGCCAAAGCCTCCCGTTCCTCTTCGCCTGCGTTCTTCGGCAGCAGAGAGCCTCCAAATCTGCAGGCATTCACCTTCTCCGACATCAAAGCCGCCACAAACAACTTCTCCACCGAGAACTTGCTTGGATCAGGCGGGTTTGGCCCTGTCTACAAGGTCAGTAAAAGGATTTTCTGGCATATTGCTGAATCATGCTTAGATTTTCAGGATTCTGCTGAACTTTTTTAGGTCGTTTTGGTATTTTCACAGGGCGTGTTGCCTGGAGGGGAGGAAATAGCAGTGAAGAGGCTTTCAGAATCATCGACTCAGGGGATTGTGGAGTTCAGGAACGAGGTTTCTCTCACTGCGAGGCTTCAGCACGTGAATTTGGTCAGGGTGGTGGGATTCTGCACTGAGAAGGAAGAGAAGATGTTGGTCTACGAGTTCATGCCCAATAGAAGCTTGGACTTCTACTTATTCGGTCTCTGCTAAACTAAATTCCAAATCTTTCTGAGTTCAACTGAATTTCCTACTTTTTGGTTCTTTGTTGTGAAATATTCTTGTCGGGTGGATTCTTTTGGGCAGATCCTGTGAGGAGGTTAAAGTTGGATTGGAACAAGAGGGTTGCCATCATCGAAGGAGTGACTCAAGGACTCCTGTACCTCCAAGAGTACTCGAATTTTACAATTATTCATCGAGATCTAAAGGCTAGCAACATTCTGCTGGATGATGGGATGAATCCGAAGATCTCGGATTTTGGGATGGCCAGGCTCTTCAGGAAAGATTTGGATGAGGCCAACACTAGCAGAATCGTGGGAACATAGTAAGTTACTAACGTCTCTTCTTACCATATTACCAATGATAATGAATAGCATCTATAGTACCTGAAACATTGGCTTGAGATGATTTTTCTCTTTGTTCTTAATTGACATGCTTCATGTTTCGCTAGTGGATATGTTCCTCCCGAATACGTGAAAAGAGGGATATACTCGATGAAATACGATGTTTATAGCTTCGGGGTCGTGCTCCTACAGATCATTAGCGGCAAAAGGACCCAATTCTACTATGGTTCAAATGAAGACCTACACCTCTTAGAACATGTGAGTTGCCTGTTTCAACTTCCTTCTATGTTCAGAAAGAGCTCTTTACTCAGCATATATCGACCCTTATCTTCTTCAGGCATACGAATCTTGGAGAAATGGTGAAGGAATGGAATTTTTTGACTCAGCATTGGACGATTCATCATCGCACTGTAAGTTGATGACATGTCTACAATTAGGATTGTTGTGTGTTCAAGAAAATCCGGACGATAGACCAACAATGCTGGAAGTGTCCTCTGTTCTGAGAATTGGGGCTCTGGGAATGGCTACACCAGAAAGGCCTGCATTTTCGACCAAAAAGGAAAACAGAGAAGAAATGGAATTTGGTACTTCTAGATCCCAACAACAAGTATGTTCGTTTAATGAGGATGATCTCTCTCAAGTGGAACCTCGTTGATTCGTATAATAATTTGTATATAGGAATAGATTAACAACATTCTCTTGTAGAGAACTTCGTTCAGTTTAAACCATCAAGAGTTCTAGTATTTGTTTGATCGTAATACGCCCCTGGGGGTGTGAACGTCCTATTTGGCTCTACTTCTATGACAATCAAAGGTAACGACAACAACGTCAGGTGCAAAAAAAATATCCTTACAATCCAAAACATTTCATCATGATGTCTCTGGTGTGGATCAAAGGATATTACTTGCATAATGCCTTGAATATTTCTCTTGCAAAAGAAAATTTATATAACTTTTCCTGATGTAAGTTTGGACTTCAAGATCAAAAATTTTGTTAGCTTTTCTATTCAAGACAGTTGGCACTCTTTGAATGCTTCTAATAGTTTTGCATTCTTGCTCTTATCGTGTTGTGATGTCATTGCTCTTTTAGAATTACACTTATGTCTTTGTGAGAAAAGATGGTTTGCTGCCTTTAGTAATTGTTCTTCACGATATTGGTGTACTTATGTTATATAATTTTTATTTAGCTTTCTTCGTGCATTTTTTCACTTTTTGTGATAAATCAGTTTTCACGACACTTTTCCCCAATCCCTCTACAAAACTGACCGCTACTAGATCCATTAATTCCAATGTCATCCACTGACTTAGAAACATTAACTGGTATCATTGCCATCACCAATTCACCATGCACCCAACCTATGGCATATATACCTCCCAATTCTTTCACTTGCTTTGCTATGATAAGATCTTGAGCTCATAACTTAATAGATATTTTATATCAACTGCTCCTTTGGTTCCTTTTGGACATAAAATCCATCCATCATTAAATGTTTTTGTCTGCAGTTGAATCTGCTATAGTTTAAATAACCAAAATGTTCTGACAATGTTACTCTTCATAACCTTAATTACCTGTTTATACTCCAAAATTACTAAATTTATAGGTCGCCACGCAGCGCGGGCTTCCATGCTAGTAATAATACAATAATGAAGCTTTATTCACCCTTTCAATATCGAATTCTTATAAAATAGACGCTCTCCCGTTCTGGCTTTAGCTCCACTAACAGGTTACCCAAAAATGAAGACCACAATATGAATAGTACTAGCTTTTACTCGGCCCTTGGCCGAATGAGTTTCGCTTTATCATTAATATTGGTTAATTTATAATTATATTTAAAATATTAACCCGATTCGTTGGTCAGATGAATTTTATTTTGATAAATCTCTTCATGTTTTTAAATAAGTTGAGGTTTCTATAATAGTTAATTTATTATTTCATAGTAATCTTTATGGTATTTGCTGATTATGACATTACCAATAATGAGTTAATATGTACTTTTTTATCAAGTCCTCCTAATTTACTGTCGTGTCTTTTTTTCATATCTTAAAAGAAATTTGTGGACTTTTTATTATCGGATATGAAGTTGAGGTTGAAACAAAATATATGTCATCTAGAATGGTAGGAATTGAAAGTATATAAAAAAATCAAGAGAATAACGAAAAGATTATGCCTATAAATCTCAAATATGGAAGAACACGAAAACATAATGCTTATTGTATATATTATTAGAATTTAGTGTATAGGTTTGATTGAATAATAAGTCGAGGTTGTTAAGTGTTAGGTACTAATGCACATACAAAAGTTACGAAAATTCAACATTATAAAACCTTAAATTCTACTCTATCAATACAATCTTTGACTTTTCATGTGGAGTTAATAGCATAAATTGTCACTCTATTATTCATTTTTCTCAAATCTATCCCTTTTCTTTTTCACATCAAACATGCCCTTGTAATATATAGAATATATGTATTATCAAATTAAATTTAATCCCTTTTATGACTTATCTTCTTCATCTGCAACTCCCTATAATTAATAGTCACAATCTCATCCCCGTCTGTCCCGCTTTCTCTTTCTTCGACCTAACCATAATTAAACGCAAAAACTTGTCCGTCACGAAAGAACCTTGAAGACCAACTTTTGAATTTCAACCACTCTCTGAAAAGTCCACAATTATTGATCGATTTGACTCAATCATAAAAATTGGAACCCAAAATTTATAGAATATATGGATTTCAAGTATCAAATGTTGTCAGCTTGGTTTAGCCCGTTGGCCCAGTCGATTAAGTGGGTTGAGGGTTAATGGTCTAATTGTTTTAGTGCGCTTTTGCCTGGATATATGAAAAAATTATTATATTGTTCATATATTTATAAAATTTCATTTACATATGAATAATATTGTTCCTCTACTGGACTATCTACATTTGTTTCTCTATCTGCTATTTTCTGCTATCCTCCGTCGAGCTCTTAAAATGCACTCCAACATGTATTAGTCACGCGACGAAGGTCGCACTCCTATGGTGGCAATGTGTGTCAGAAGTGGAATTCATGATTAACAACCAAGTGGAAATTGTGGGGGTGTTTGCGAGGGAAGACAATATGTGATGGAAGGCGAGTTCTTCCAGTAGTCTCTTTGTTAACATAGTTGACTTGACGGATTTATCTTGCCAATTCGCGGAGCGGGAGCTAGAGCAGGAGCTAGAATGGGAGCGTAAAAGTGTATACTCTTCAAGAATTATAATTTGAGTGCCCCGAAAGAGCGTGAATATTATATTATTTTAATTAATATATCATTTAACTTACTAACATGTATTGGTCAATAAATTACATCAATGCAGTGGAAAACAATAAAATCATTTTAGTACAATAATAGCTTTAAATAATCTGATTAGACCCGAAAAAGAACAAACTTCAAAGGTGAATAGAAACCCAAAAAAGTTTACGATGCTATTTTGTTTTATTTTTTAAAAATGGAAAAGAGAAATGAATGCATCGTTTATCCACCCCATGCACTCAATTAGTTGTTAATAAAAGAGTCTATATCTTTTTCTTCCCATTCGATTCTTTGTTTCTTAAGTCGACTATGGAGATCTCCTGTAGATGTGCCAAATTGGCAATGATTCTATATCATCGGCTATCTAACTAACCTCCTATAATTTTATTCATCCCCAAGCCCGCGATTTAATGATCTATTTCACAGTACTCATTCACGAACTCGTAGTGTATCCTTTTCGTCTTTGCTCTCCTGAGCTCTGACGGTACCGCATGTATTTCTTTCTCCTACGAAGAAGCAGGTCATCGTCTTCGAGCCAAAGTTGTTGATTTGGCTATAACTTGTTTCATTTTACTTTGTTTATAGAGAGAAAAATCACTCAAATAAGTGATAGATGAAATAAAATTTGCGAACATTGATTCTCGATGCTTCTGATTTTTAGTTTGAGCAACAATCTTTAGATTTTGGAAGTTTGTAGTTTCTATAAAATAATTATGAAGCAAAAATATAATTCCTACTTTCATTTTCGTTGTAGGAAATTTGAAATGAGACAACAATTTTCTCATTTGAGTATTATATATTGTGTAGAGTGTATATAAAGACATGTCTTTTTCCTACAAATTCATTAGCACATTGAAAAAGGTGAAATGAACCAACTTATTAAACTCATACTGATTGTTGGATCCAATCATGTCATAATAGGAAAAGGCTTAAAATTTGACGGTTAGCCGAACTAAAATGTTCAAAGAACCAGTCTCATATAGTTTACACAAAGATATGAACACGATTGTGTAATAGTAGGTCTAAAAATTAATATTAATTTAAGAATTATACATCACTTTTACATATTCAACACTGCAATTTGATATGGAATATTCGAACCAATGATATTTGGGCCGCGATTTTATAGTTATCCTCTATTTATAAGATATATAAGAATTTAATTAAGTATTAAATAATAATTAAAATAAGGAATTTGGCCTTTGTTAGTCACCTAAATTTTCAACTCAAATGCATGTTTCTTAATAATAGAGGTCGACTGGCTCTATGACTGTGCAGCTGGAGAAAAATGAAATTTGCTATTGCGGGATTATGATAGATTTTGAGATGGTTGGGTCGTGTGTAGGCTCTCAAATCTAAAGTAAGAAGAAGAGACGATGGGATAGTCGAACATGGTCTGTGATGTTTCATGTTGTAGGGTTCTGTGATAAGTAAAAGGATGATATGACATTGTAGCTACATATACGAATTGTTGAAAACAACATCATTTTGAAGTGGCTGGTGCTCGAATCATTTGGTTAAATCGGTTGGATTTCCCACTAAGATAGACAAACTCGACTTTGACCCAGCCTAAGTAGAAAACCAACTGGGCCTTCGGCACCCGATGAGATACTCATGTTTAGATAGAATTGGTTCGACCAACAAAGTCATACTCGAATTGAAAATCATGGTTATGACTTTTGTCTGTGTTTGAAGATATATTTGTTCAAATCTCAATCCTTGTCTATTTTCTATACAAATTAAACAAAAATAATGGCGAAGACAAAAATGTCATTCATACTTTTGCTCTCGTTAGGAAATTTGAAATGAGACGACGATTGTGCCAATAGTATAGAGTGTATATGTAGAGTGTATATGTAGACATGTCCTTGCTCTAAAAATTCACTTTAATACATAAAAAGATGAAATAAACCAATCTATTAAACTCAACCAACTGGGTTCCGACTCTGGAGATCTCCTGTAGATGTACCAAATTGGCAATTATTCTATATCATCGGCTATCTAACTAACCTCCTATCATATTCAGCCCCAAGCCCGTGATTTGATGATCTATTTCACAGTACTCATTCACGAACTCATAGTGTATCCTTTTCGTCTTTGATCTCCAGATATCTGACGGTACCGCATGTATTCCTTTCTCCCACGAAGAAGCAGGTCATCGTCTTCGAGCCAAAGCTGTTGATTTGGCTATAACTTGTTTCATTTTACTTTGTTTATATAGAGAGAAAAATCTCTCAAATATTGTTCAAAGAACTAGTCTCATATAGTTTACACAAAGATATGAATACGATTGTGTAATAGTAAGTCTAAAAATTAATACTAATTTAGGAATTATACGTCACTTTTACATATTCAACATTGCAATTTGATATGGAATATTCGAACCAATGATATTTGGACCACGATTTTAAAGTTATTCTCTATTTATAAGATATATAGGAATTTAATTAAATATTAAATAATAATTAAAATAAGGAATTTGGCCTTTGTTAGTCACCTAAAGTTTCAACTCAAATGCATGTTTCTTCATAATTTTTGCTTCGTATTTGTATGAGATGAGGTCGACTGGCTCTATGACTGTGCAGCTGGAGAAAAATGAAATTTTCTATTGCGGGATTATGATAGATTTTGAGATGGTTGGGTTGTGTATTGTAGGCTCTCAAATCTAAAGTAAGAAGAAGAGACGATGGGATAGTCGAACATGGTCTGTGATGTTTCATGTTGTAGGGTTCTGTGATAAGTAAAAGGATGATATGACAGTGTAGCTACGTATACGACTTGTTGAAAACAACATCATTTTGAAGTGGCTGGTGCTTGAATCAGTTGGTTAAATCGGTTGGATTTTCCACTAAGATAGACAAACTCGACTTTGACCCAGCCTAAGTAGACAACCAACTGGGCCTTCGGCACCCGATGAGATACTCAGGTTTAGATAGAATTGGTTCGACCAACAAAGTCATACTCGAATTGAAAATCATGGTTATGACTTTTGTCTGTGTTTGAAGATATATTAGTTCAATTCCCAATACTTGTCTATTTTCTATACAAAATAAATATAAATAATGGCGAAGAAAAAAATGTCATTCATACTTTTGCTCTCGTTGTAGGAAATTTGAAATGAGACGACAGTTTTATCGTGCCAATAGTATATATTGTGTAGAGTGTATGTGTAGACATGTCCTTGCTCTACGAATTCATTTTAATACATAAAAAGATGAAATAAACCAATCTATTAAACTCAACCTCTTCTAATGATTGTTGGATCCATCATGTTGTCTGATTAGGAAGATGTTTAAAACCTAACGGTTAACCTAGCTAAAAGCGTTCAAAGAGCCCGTCCCCATATAGTTTGCAGAAGATATGAATATGATTACCTCATAGTAGTTCTACTTCTATAAACTTATACTAATGCAGGAGTTCAACATCGCTTCTACACATTCGATATTGCAATTCGATATGTAATATTGGACCAATGATATTTGGTCTATGATTTTAAAGTTATCATCTATTTATAAGATAAATAGAAATTTAAATTAAGCATTAAAGTATAATTAAAATAAATAAATATGAAAATTGAAGTATCAAAACACCAATAAGTACTGAGCGAAGATTTAGCAACCTTAGGTAACCGTTGAAAAGTTTTGTGATTTTTTAATTTTAGCTTCATGTATGTTTTTTATTTAAAATAACACAACTAATCTATGTAATATGATTGGTTAAGGTTCTTATCATAGTTGAAAATGATCATGGTTCAAATTATAGTATGTGTATTTTTTTAAGAATAAATGAGAAACAAATAGATCATTGTGAAGACAAAAATACGGGGAAAATTTGAATAGGGGTGCAGAAAAAATATTCAACTATCTATAGAGATAGATATAGCCACATTGTACAGCGATCCATTGTGAAGTGCATGCTTTCCACCCCTAATAATTATTATATATTTTTACTTTTGATTAATAGTTTGATTAACTAGCTCCTGGCCATTTATCTTTATTAACTAGCTCCTGGCCATCATCCTCTACTGTATCCCACTGTCGATCTTCCTCCTCCATCCCTCCTCCGACCTCCTTCGGGACGAAACCGCCAACGTCAGGGCGGCCCTGCTCTCCCGGGGCAACTACTCCGCCATGATCCCGACCTCGTATCCAAGCTCCTCCATCACTACCCCGTGGGGGCGAAGGAGGCGATCACCGTCTTCGTCCCGTCGGATGACACAGAGTATGAATGGTGTGAAACGGAGCGGCCGGAGGTCCGCGTACTGACGGGCCGGGTGGATCATGAGTCGTTCGGGCCGGGCGGGCTGTCCCACGGGTCGGTCCTGCAGGCCCGAGATGACGGCGACAGCCCGATTCGGGTCAAGGATTCCGCCTTCGCCAGAGGTGCGGTCGTGGATTGGGGTTTCTACGATGACGGCTGCCGCCTGGTCGTGCACGGGATGCGCGGCCGGACGGTCCCTCGGCACAGATGGGTGCGGACAGGGCCGGGGTGGTTGTTCTTCATTTCATTTTCAATTTCGGCATAGTTTGTGTGTGTCCTATTTTAATCTGTGGAAGCAGGAAAACTCGACTAGGACACACTTAGAAAATAGAAGTTGAAGGAGACTACTAGAACTTGCTTGGTTCAGCGTCAAAGGACCTGGTTTGGTCATTATATGCTTCTGGGTTTGTAAGTGCTATGCTTTAGGTGTTCTTCCTCTGTTCTTGTCTAAAACTTATACATGGACACCTTCTGATCGAGAATTGACAAGGAGGGAAGTGATTGTGTGTTTGAAATTAAAACTCTTCCGTTTCAATTAGACAAGCGGTTGGGTCGGCCAGCTAAGCCTAGGCAAATATGCTTTAACTCTCCTGTTGGGTCCAACTAGGGTGAGTGGATAAATTAAGGGGTCGTTTGGATTGAGTATTTGGGGTGTTATTTGGGGTCAAACAATAGATTTTGTGTTATTTGACCCCAAATAACATGTTTGGCTGACAAAATGTGGGATGCGTTATTTGGATGTAAGTGTTTTGCCAAATAACAGGTTTGAGACCAAATAACACAAAAAGTGTTGTTTGCCAAATACTTGAGAGGGGGCAGGTATTTGCCAAATAACAAGTTTGAGATCAAATATCACATACCAAATAACAGGTTTTATATTATGTGGTATTTGTGTGGTAATTGACCCCAAACAACAAGTTTGTCAAATACTCAATCCAAACGACCCCTAATTGTCTTAAAGCCCACTCAAATAAACAGTCTCCTTTCAGAAGCCGAAGGTAACGTGGGAGAGTTGGGTGTGTGGAGTGATTATGTTTATTTTATTCCTTTGAATTAATTACAGGGTGTGGTAGAAAGTAATAGGTCTCTACATTGTAATCCTTTCATTGCATGTGTTAGTATTGATTAAGCAAAATCAGCTAGTTACATTCAAAGTAATTACAAAAGACAGGTATAAAGTCTCGCGCTCGACGCAACCAACAAATGTCATATTGAATACTTTAGGACACAAATGACACATTGTTGATAGTTCAGATTTCCTAGTGGTATTAACCCAACCCTTTAACTTTTGATTAACTAGCTCCTGGCAAGTTATCTTTATTATACTCGCAATCACAAGTAGTACTCAGTGAACATAGTATGGATACACCATTACTATATCTAACGTATATTTAATTTTAGAGATAGTTATACAACGAATAGCGATTACTATTTAATTTCCACTATGATTTTTCACAGTTACTATTTGCTAGTCGTGTAGTGTTAAGGAGGTTACTGGCGGAACAAGCTAGATACCCTCTGGGCCGGCTAGAGTTATCAGAGGGAACTGGCCTGGGAAGTATTTGAGGAATCCTATTCCTAGCTAGTTCTATCGACCAACTGTTTCCTTTCCTAAGTCGACTAGAAGTCCCGGTGGGGTAATAAAAATCGTGGTAGGCTACCAATCTGTTTTCCGATCCGATGGTATAAACAAAATCCCCTGAAAATAAATTTGCTAAAAGAAAACCCCCCGGCCCCCATCAGTTCGTTCAATCGACGACGGCAATGGCGGCTTCCGGCAAGCGCAAACCCTCATCCTTCGCCGCCGCAGTGCTCTTCCCCATCATCCTCTACTGTATCCCACTGTCAATCTTCCTCCTCCATCCCTCCTCCGACCTCCTTCGGGACGAAACCGCCAACGTCAGGGCGGCCCTGCTCTCCCGGGGCAACTACTCCGCCATGATCCCCGACCTCGTATCCCAGCTCCTCCATCACTACCCCGTGGGGGCGGAGGAGGCCATCACCGTCTTCGTCCCGTCGGAGGACACAGAGTACGATTGGTGCGAAACGGAGCGGCCGGAGGTCCGCGTACTGTGTCACGCCCTGGAGAAGAAGAGAACTCTTGGCAAGGAAGAATCTCGAATTGGAAGAAGAATGGCGGCAGAAATTGGGAAGAACAGAGGAGAGAGAGAGAGAAAGGAGAGGGAAAGAGTAAAGTTTTATTTACTGGCTTATAATCCGGCCCGTTGGCCGGAATGTTTATATTTTGATATTTAAATTTTTTATGTTACGTTTAAGTCTATTAATTTGTTTAAGTTTATTGAAAATTATTCAATCGAGATTCTACACAAATAATGAATATATAGGTCGAATATTCAGGCAAATACCCTCCTCATTTAAGAATATAAAAATGTATCATTAATCCCATTTTCATAATGATAATTGAGCCCCCATTAAAATGATATTGCTTAATAGATTGTCCAGAAATATATAATATAAAAGCTCATTGTAATTCTCACACGATCCATAGATAGTTTGAAACTGAAATGAAACCTCACAATCCCACATAAATTGTTCAAAGCTCTCCTCTATGAATAACATGCCACTAATAAAAAGGAAATGGATTTATAATAATAATAAAAAAAAGAAATGAAGAGTTGTTGATTCAAGTAAATCATATGCTAACAACTCAACTAAAAGGAAACCATCAAAACTTGAAAGCAAATGACAAAATTAGAGTTACATCCAATATGCTAATAGACTCGATCAAAGTAATGAGCACAAATTTAGACACTCCTTATCTACAGGTTCCAGTAGTTTGAATAGTGCTCGACCTTAACTTTAGTAAATCAATCAATGATTCCTCGTTTTAACATAAACATAGGTTGTGGTAGTTGCAACAACCATAACACCTAAAGATCCAATAGTTTCTACTCTCCGTTGTACAACCAACTTTTTATCCCCTCCATCTTCAATCTCTCGACGTATATGTTTTAAACCAAAAATCAATTTTTAATCCTCCTTCTACAACTCCATTTATGCTACTTTGATGGACCTTCTCTCCATGAACCTGAATTTCTCTTTCAATTGAGTTTATTGTCAGTTTGATCTCCAACTCCTAATTCCTCTTTCTTGTATTTGGCCAACTCATCTTCCTCGGGCCAGTTTTAATAAGCTCGTAAAACCGACACTCATCTTCAATTCCATCAATATGCTTTTCTCCTCCTTCTATGCCTTCACCTGATCCAGTTCACTTCCATGCCCTTCAATACCCTCTCCATTTTCATTAATATCCTGATCATCTACCACTTCTCTCTCTTCAACTGCTCCGATTTTGCTTCTATGTCTTTCAATACCCTCTTTGGTTCAATCACTACCCTGACCAACTGCCTCTTCACTGCCTTCACTTGTTGCAAACTACTTCCATGACTTTTATACACCTTCCTCAAAATCACAATCAACTAACCAATATCAATCCATGGCCTTGGATCAGTTTTAGACTCTCTATGAACATCTCAATACCACCAAGTCTAAATCTAAATATTCTTTCAGTTAACATGAACTTGAGTTTATCAAAATCTAATCCACTCCTTCTAAGTTGGAATTCCCATCCCCAAGCTCATTTTTGGTTCATTTGATCCCGCATAACCATGATATTATACCTCTAACTAAATAAATCAAAGCATTTTACGAAAAGAAACTAAACCATGAACTTTACCTGCTACCAAATCCAAACACAATTTCTTCCCCTCACCACTTCCCTTAATCCCTTCCCAAACCCAATATCAACTTTTACTCCAAGTACGCACCCCCAACTCCCAGTGTGTTGAGTGAAAGCTTAATTTTAGCAATCATTATGCTTGCAATTAGATTAATGGACACCAGCAAACGCCAAAATTCCACCAGACGATGAGTTGTCTTCACTTTGAGTTTTGTCATAAAATTGTTGGCCCCATATGTTTATCAGTTTGGAGGCCATATGAAGAGCAATACCGAATAAGTTGCAGCGAAGTTACCGGTCACAGTAATGACAATGTGAAACATGTGTTAACAAACGCGAATATGGGTTACTTTTATGGATTGACATTAGAATGATGGGATTGGACAATGAGATCGTCCTTAGTTAAGCGACATGTAAATTGGTCATTTGGTATGGAGGACACAAACCGTTAAAATTCTAAATTATTTGGGTAAGTTTGTATTTAGTGTTTTCAAAATCGTGGGATATGAGTTAGGTGATTAAAATATCTAAACCCGAATGAACCAACCCACGCACACCCCTAGGAAGAGTTTCAAAACTTAGTATTTATCCGGACAAAAATGTTTAGAGAACCGGTCTCCTATAGTTTGCATAAAGATATGATTGCTTCACTATAGTTATGGAAATTAATGATAATTTAAGAATTCTATATCGCTTCTACATATTCAATACTATAATTCGATATGAAATATTGGAACCAACAATATTTTGGTTGCAAATTTATGGTTATTGTCTATTTATAATATAGATAAAATTTAAATTAAGTATTAAACTATAATTAAATAAAAATATCAAAATTTAAGTATCAAACAGTGAAAACACCAAATAAGTACTTACGGAATATTTATTGGGCTAGCTAAATGTTAAAAAGTTTTTTGATTTCATATTTTAGATTCGTATATATTTTTAATTTAAAAAAATACAACAAATCTACATAGTCTGATTGATTTTAAACCTTTACTTTGTTTGAAATGACCATGGTTCAAATCTCAATATGTCTATCTTTTTCTGTAAATAAATAAAAAAAATACAGATAATTGTGAAGACAAAAATTTCCTTCCTAATTTCATTCTCATTGCAGCAAATTGGAAAAGGGAGATTAAGTTTCAAATAATTAAATCATATACCCTAAACCTATAGAACTTAAACCCTAATATCACATATACTAAGAACATAATCAATGATTCTGATTCGCCAAGATGTATACAACATATCATATGCACTATATTAGGATTTAGAGAATTATGATATAGGGTTTAGTTACGTGATTAATCTATGGTCCAGATAATGTTATTTAACTAAGGAGATGCAATAACCCTCAATCCATCGAGCGTACCATATAATTCCCAATGTATATACACATACCATTGTTTGTTAAATTTAGCCAATGATAATTGGCTCATTTGTCAATGGTATTTAGTCTTTCAATTCTATGCTCATAATTCTCAACCATTAGGGAAATTGTTAGCCAATGATTTTTGGTCATCCACTTGTAGCATTGAAAATGTCTCGTTACAAAATCATAGATCACAAATGTCAAATTTTATGTTTTGAAATAAAATTTTGTATAGCACTTTTGTAAACAATCCTTGTATTCCTACAAACTGCAAAGTCATGTAACCTAATAAATGTAAAAGTTGTAAGACATACATAAACTCAAAATGTACTATTTGATTCTTGGTGAAGAATTGTGTGATTAGAGGAACTCACTTAGTTGATTCATAAAGCTAGGTATATCATGATGATTCACTTTGTAAATAATTATAATTATTAATTAATTCTATGATTGATTGTTGCGGTGGATAGTCCTATGATTTTGAGATATTTCAGTATTTTGTCTCTTTAATTCAAAAAATACATAAACATTGTTGTAGTCCAGTTGGTTAGGGATATTGATTGTCAATTTGAAGGACTCGAGTTCAAGTCTTGGTATTGACATTTTTTTTGAGTAGTTGCTGGGACGTGTGTACTGATTTCCCAAATAATAAAATAAGCCCGAAAGTGGAATAATTTTCTTTCCACAATTGCCCCTAGCGACAATGAAGGAGAGGCCAAGGATTTCAAAATGGAGAAAATTAGCTGGAGAACGGCTATATATTATAGGAGGATCAGTAAAGTTGGTTACAACGGCTCTTGGCGGGTCTGCTTTATACCCAATTGGCAAATAACCAATTCACCCCCCATTACACAATTCCCCATCTCATCCCTAACTTCGATGTCTATCCAAAATGGTCCATTCGTTACAACTCCCCATTCCTTCAGAGAAAGCTTGTCCTCAAGCTTGAAAATCTGGGAATTTGGCCTGGAAATCGATCCATGACTCCCAGGTTGCGTCTTCAGCCTGCTGATGAGTCCAATGCACCAAAACCTGGGTCTGAGGCTTGTTATCATGTGCCACCATTCGTCGTGCCAAAATTGCAGCTGGTTCCAGCTTCAAATCGCCCTGATCATCCATTGCAGGCAAACTGGGCTGCACCCTAACACTGCTACCAACTCGAGCCTTCTTCAGGAGTGAAACATGAAAAACAGGATGAATAACCGAACCTGGAGACAACTTTAACCTGTAAGCCACAGCTCCAATCTTCTTTTCCACCTGGAATAGTCCAAAGAACTTGGGAGACAGTTTCTGATTCGATCTGCTTTCGACTGAAGTCTGCCTGTAAGGGCGCAATTTGAGAAACACCCATTCACCCTCCCCAAAGGACCTTTATGTGCGATGAGCATCCGCCATTTGCTTCTGCTTATTCTGAGCCTTAGCCAAATTGTTCCTGAGGATGTTGATCAATCTGTGCTGCTGCTGAAGTCTATCAGCCACTGCTGCCACTGAAGTAGATAGAGGGTTCTGAACTGAAAATTGAGCTGGAGAGTAACCATAGAGAGCTTCAAATGGAGATAGTTGAAGACTGCTATGGTAATTGGTGTTATACCACCATTCAGCCAGAGTTAACCATAGAGACCAGCGTCGAGGACAGTGATGCACCATGCCCCTCAAATACTCTTCCAAACAACGATTCAGCCTCTCAGTTTGGCCATCTGTCTGAGGATGATAGGCCGTGGAATAATGCAATGAAACTCCTTGTAACTCCCATAACTTGGACCAGAAGGAACTTGTAAAAATTACATCCCTGTCAGACACAATGGTCTCGGGCAACCCATGCAATTTAAACACACCATCAAAAAACACTTGGGCCACAGATGCAGCAGTGTAAGGCTTGGACAAACTGAAAAAATGACCATACTTTGAAAATTGATCTACAACCACTAGCACTGCATCTTTTCCATGAGAACTGGGTAACCCTTCTATAAAATCCATGGAGATATGCTTCCATGCCTGATCTGGGATAGGTAAAGGCTGTAGTAACCCAGGGTATGACACATTTTCTGTTTTACACTTTTGACAATTTTCACAGTGCAAGATGAAGTGCTGTAGAGAAGTTTTAAGGCCAGGCCACCAGAAGTACCTTTTGAGTCTTTGGTAGCTGGCTTGAACCCCTGAGTGACCTCCAATTGGTGAGTCATGAAACAGTTTGAGCAGCTGATCTCTCATGTTGCCATTGGAGCCTACATAAATGGCTGCCTTGTGGTAGAGTAAGCCTTGATGGATCCAGAATAGCTTAGGGCCAGTAATGGCAATAGCAGCTTCCACCCAAATGGCCTGAGCCTCCTGATCCCCCTCATAAGAAGATTCCAACTCATCCAACCAAGTAGGTAGAACAGCAGTAATGGAACT